TTGTACTCCTGAGATACTGTCTTATTTATAGTTTTCTCTATAGAAAATTGTTGCTGTGATGAAGACTTTTGACTTGTTAGTCACTGGTACAGCAGTTAGAGTGTGTGAGTGACGTGTTTATCTCTGTTTCAGTGTGGTGATGGCATCTCTACTCATGTCCTCCTTGGCACTGGGCTTCTTCCTTCCCCTCTGTCCCAGGCTACAGTCCAAACCTTGCAGCAGCTTTGCATCATGAGTTTATAGAACTTATCAACAGCATTTTTGCTTTAGGATCCACCATGCACATAGGGGTGTGTGCATGGTGTGTGTGTGTGTGTGTGTGTGTGTGTGTGTGTGTGTGAGTTTTCTCATCCCAACTTTGTGCATCTACCTGGTTGGCTTTGGCTCCTTCTTGCTTTGGTCGCTTTATTGTCCTTCTGAATTCTCTGGTCAGAACGACCTACAGTTTTTTTTGTTTTTTGTTTTTTGTTTTTTTAATTGGTGAGGTTTAGATCCCATGACAGTTGGTGGCGGAAATGAGGGCAAAGCTGAGTTGAGAAAAGCACCCTAAATTCCTCCTGTCCCCAAAGGTCATGTTTACCCTACCTGAGCGTTTGATAAACACAGCATGTTTGTCATATGTTTCAAAATCGTTTTCAGCTTTCAGTGGACTGTTCTCTGACTTCAGCCCAATGGAATTAGGGTAATGGCTGCATAAACCCCAGAAAACTGATGAGGCTTATTGTTATGGTCTGACTCATAACTTCCACATTTTGTGATTGGTGATGGGTCAACCCATCAAACTGTATTTTTGGTCCAATTAGGACACTCATCTTTTTTAATAGCTTCACCCCAGTCCTTTGCTTTCACAGGCTGGATTCACGAAGCTTAGAAACTTAGTGTGCTGTGCTGTAAATCTAATCATGGTTTTCTATATCAGCACATTTAAAAATGTCTAAATTTAGACATAGACAATAAGCAGAAAATAAGCCTTTGGATATTATATAAACACTGTGGGATGCTAGCCCTCCCGCCAGCCCTCACACACACACACATGCATACCTACCCCTGTGTTGTGGCTCCACAGAGCAGTGGTTGTGATTCGGAGCCAGAGCTTTGTGGACCTTCTGTTATGGAGACCTTGCCTGCCTGCATGTGCTGTGCTGCAGTGTGTGACCTAAATGTAAGTGTGCTCTGAAGTGACAGAACCTGAAGTCTTGTTCTCTGGAGTTCTGCTGACTTGGTTGACCATTTACACTTCCTAGAAGTCTCTTTCCGAAGCCCAAATGAAGAGTTTTCCAACCAGTGGTTTGCTCCCTGCCCTTCTCCTTTAGCCCTGGATGGGGTCCTCTTCTCCATGTGTCCTTTCCTGGGTGTCAGAGTTGGTGTCAAATGAGTGCCTGCAGGGATGGTTCATGCTGGGACCCTGCCACCATCACCTCCTCAGATGTTACTGCTAGAGTGTGGCATGCAGGTGAGGTTCCTTTTAGATATTTACAGAGCTGCCTGTGCCTTCCAAACAGGACCCTGCTTCCTGTTTGTGCCACCATCTTGCTTTCCTTAGCACAGTCACAAAATACAAGTGTCCAGCCCTTGCCTTCACTGATCTTCATACTCACCACTGTGCCCTAGAGATCTGTGAGTCGCTGTAGCACCGCCTCCCAGCCTCCCCGATGGTCCCTCTGAATCTGCTGGTGTGGTTCTCTTTAGAATGCTTTTGTCCTTCCTGTGAAGCACCAGGTGGTCCTGAGCCCTAATCCTGCCAGGAGTTAACTCTGCCACTCACCCCTGCCTCTCAGGCTGCTTACGGCACTCCTGAATCATTCGCACCAACCTGGCATCCCCCACCATCTGTCACAGAGCAGAGATGGTGCTGAATGGGCAGGGGGAGGGCTGCAGGCTCAGGCTCACCTTCCAAAGAAGGAGCAATGCGGTGGAGAGCACAGCCACCCCCTCTCTTACCCAGTCCTGACTGGGTTTCTGGGTGACCACCATGCCAGGTTAAACAGTGTTGCACGAATGGCGTCTCTAGGTGTGAAGCCTTCAAGGTTTTCTTTCTCTCGGTTGTGGGGCGACTGTGGAGGGAAAAGAGAAGGCGCTTCCCCCAGTAAACTCCATGGTCTCCACCTTCTCTGGCTCCTCCCAGAGTCACCACTTTACACAATCACTAAAATGACTTTCTAAACTTTTTAATTCGAACCATATCATTCCTGTGAACAGACATAAATGCAATTACTTTTTGTAGAATATAAACTGGATTTAAAAATAGAGTTTAAGAAGAGAGAAAATGAAACTAAGTAAATAACATTGCATACAGATGGACATGTAAAAAGAAGTGAAAGCACATTTTATCTCAGGTATAAAAGGAAGGAATTTAGGAACTGGGGTTTCATGATGAATTGTTGCCTCTTTTTAACGTTGTGACATTTCCTCTTTCCTTTGAACATTTTTGTGGTGATGTTCTTTGATCTCTTCCATGCCTGGCATGTGCTTGAAGTATCCCAGGATTAGGACTATGTGATGTCCTTTGAGTTAAACTTTGGCATTTCCAGTTGCAGTTAGCAATTTTGACCCCAGAATATTTAAGTGTAGTTTTTCAGAGTGAAATAGAAAGCTAAATGACATGCAGTAGACAATCTTGCTGATCCATAGCAGAAAAAAGGATGAAATTCAAATGTAATCTATATCCTGAAGTCATAACAGAGATTTTAGGTTTATATTAATATGACAAGTTAAAAGCCTTTACGATCGTATATTTTTATGTTTAGCCATTATATCTTCTATGAAAAGCCCCCAAATGGTTTGGAAATGTGTTCTAGGAATAAAACATGTTGCTGCTTAATGCTAGTGGTATTTTATTCTTTGGAAAATACATCCATTTAGGGAGAAATCTATTTCAATTTAGAGCATCTTTAAGACACAGCTCAGACTGCTTGCCTATCCAGGATAGCCATAGCCTGTGTCTTGCAGTCATCTAACCTCGTCATATGGCAGCTCGGGTCTGAAGCATGGTGCTGTCCAGTGGACAGGTCAGGTGGTGTGAACAGAGATGTTTCTGACTCTGTACCTCTCCTCTGAGATGGGATAGTCAGCCCCTTACTGGACACCAGGAAGAAGCTGATGTTCAGATTGTGACCTGATGTGGAGGACACTAACCATCCTCCAGCAGCAACCCTGGCTTCTCTTAGGTGTCTTGGTTACTTTTCTCTCACTGCTGAGACTAAATACCCTGCACCCAAAATTAAGGAAAGCAAGGCTTATTTAGCTCACAGTTTGTGAAGGTTTCAGACTGTAATCAGCTGGCTCCAAGGCAGGGTGGCACAGCATAGGGGCAACAGTTTAAGGTGGCAAATGATAGCAAAAGCAGCAAGAGCAAAAAAAGGGGAGAAGCAAGCCTCTTGTTCCCTCCCTTATCCTGGGAGCTTGCTCCCTGTCCTCGCATAGGTGTAACACCATGTCTTGTGCCTTTCTTTTGCACCCCTACTAAGTTACTTAGTTAAACTTTTAAACTTCTCAAGCTGGCACCATGAATCCATCATTACAGCATTCTAGAGTGTACACAGACACCCCGGGCATGTGCTCTGTACTCTAGATGCACTTCTCAATGTACTAACCATTACAGTGGCCCTCCCTGAGAGTCGTGTGCAGGGTGCCTGACTGTGAGTTCCAGTGGGGACAGAGTCACACCAAGAGGCAGGACAGCCTGTCTCTGTCCCTCATCATGTATCTCCAAAGCTTTGAGTCCAGATTCTGGGCATGGGCTATAGTGTGTGGAGATACCCTGGATCCAGCCTGCTGTTGCTCTCTGGAAACTCAGCTGTGAGCCTGTGCAGTTCTACAGTGGAACAGTAGGGGAGGATGTACCTGTCAGCACCATGTGGACTGCCCCGCAGGGCACAGACTACATGTGCACTCGGTGCCTGGGGCCACTGGTGGCACTGCTCTCTACATCTGTCCCTCGTATCCCAACAGCACTGGGCTCTGGGCTGCCAAAGGCATCCTGTCCCACCCCACTTGCCAACTGCCTCATAGTCCCAGGCCAGCAGTGACTGACCTGTTTAAGTATAGGATCGAGAACCCACATCCAAGGTCACATCCCCCGGGTCTTCTGAGGACCAGCCTTCCTCTTCCCCTAGAGCCTCCCTGGAAGACTGGTAGCCCTCCCTGGTATCAGCAGTTCTCTGGCACCGTCACGGACACATGTTCATTACATTTACATGTCCTTCACTCTGAGCACTGCTCGCCTGTGACGAAAGTTTGTCCTGCCTGATCAAACTGCATTTTTTATCTCTCAAGTGCCCTCGCTGCTCTTTGCTTATTCTCATGACAGGAGATTAGACAGATAATCAGTGTAAATAATGCTTAATGTATTTGCTGTTTAGGCTGAATCCCATGTTACCTGATGCATTTGTTTAAATCTATAAATTCCTTAAATGAAAGAAATTCCTGTCCAAGAAAGCACAAGATAATAGTCTTGGTCATAAATATCAGTCCTGTTTACCTAAGAACAGAGTAGCCATGAGAATTTTTTCATTGTCGTTAAGTGCCACAGAGAGAGAAAGGGAGAAGCAGAGAAAAAGTGATGAATTTGAATTATTTGTTCTCCTGTCATCTCTTCTGGAAGGCAAACACCTGGGATTTGCCCCTTAGCTTCTCGTAAAGAGAGACAAAAGGGAGGCCGGCGCCATCGTCAGGCTTCCTGTGGAATAGGCAGCGGTTTCTCTAGGGCAGGAGAGTTAAGTCCTGTGTGTGTGAGGACAGGTGGCTTCCATACTGCACGTGGAAGTGGCAAATGTGATTATTTAAAGAAAAAGAGGGCCTAACTGCAGGATGGACCTGCAGTCCTGATTAAGGATTCTGTCAGAAGTCTGATGCACAGCTCTGTAAATGCCTATTGGTTGAAAACTCAGACAGCGTCATCAGCTTGTTTCTGGAGGGACAGTACAGAAACATGTTGCTGCTCGAGGAGTAGGATGCGGTGACACTGTCTCACCCCAGCCTTTGTCTGTGCGTTTCTCCAGCGGTGGGTCTCGCTGCATGCCAGGAACCAGCGCTCCCCAGCAACGGCATCAAACTCGGGGACCGCTACATGGTGAACGACGTGCTCTCCTTCCAGTGTGAGCCGGGGTACACCTTGCAGGTATGTCTCTTTCCAGCACTTTGTTCACGGTGGTCATCACTGATGGCTTGAGCAGAGTCCTGTCCTTAGGCTTGCACCCAAAGAGTGCATTTGGTTTTGTTCACTGTGTGGGACCCATGCTAATCAGCCCTGCACCGCGGTGGTCTTCACTGACTGCGGAAATGACTTCTAAAAGGTACCGTTCTATCAGCGCTGAGCCTCTTACTTTTCATCATTATTTTATTTCAAAACCAATAGCTATGGAGAGAATGTTCTAAGGACTGAAGAACAAACATAGTCTTCAAAATCCTGCCCTGGCCCCCAGTTAGTGGAGCTGCCTCTGAGTCATGGAATGGGTCTGCTTTGCAACTCTCCCTAAGAACTGGTCAGGAAGTGGCTGTTAGATACCACAGTGTGCCAGGTGGATAGGACACGTTTAAGTAATTCCCAAGAAATATGAAGTGGAAATGTTGCTTAAAATTTATGTCATATTAATATGAAACTGTATAAAGATTTTAACATTTTGTAAAGTGATCTACACCAAGTTAGTAATATTTGCATTATCTGTTTTCTTTCTCAGTCTTGCACACACACACTCAAAATGCTAATTGCTTTGCACAATTCTTGTGTAATTCTCCCCGCAGACAGTAAAAGTTGATCAGCTACTCAGGTGTATTCCAAAGCTAAGGACACGTCTATGGCTAATGATGATTCTGTTCTTCAGATTATTCAGATTAAAGAGTATTTTTGATGCATGTTTACTGTAACATTGAATGTTTTTCAAAGACATTGTTTAGCTGTGTTCTATTCCTGACTTTAATGAAGCAGCCTGGGAAATCATCAGGAAGGAGCTGGAACAGTGCAGGAGAGAAACAAAGCCACTGTGCAGAACTAAGTCTCTGCACACGCGTGGGGGTAAATGTGGTGTGGATAGGTCCAGTAGCCGCAGCCTGTGGAGGCACAGTGCTGGCGGAGAAAGGCACCAAGAGTGTCGCGTCACAGGGCAGCAGCTCCAAGTTGCCTGACCCCCATCACCTGCCAAGGGTGACAGTGCAAGAATGACACAGACAGAGACAGAGATAACCATGCAGAGTCAGAGCAGGAAAAGAGGTCAGAGTCCAACTAGCACTAGCAACTAGAGGCCAAGAAACTTGGTGCCGTCCATGTTTCTGGAATTTCAGCACAGCTCGACTTGGGAAAGGGGGCAACAATGCCTATCCATCTGCTGACTTGGGGAGGGGTGTGAACGAGGCACGAGGCACGAGGCATCCTAGCTTAGCTTTCAGGACAGTGGCCCCCAGTTAGTCAGTAACCTGCTTAGCGGTGACTAAGGAAAAAGTAATTTAGGAGAGAATTGCACAGTCCTCATTGGCAGTGTTTATTCGGGTTCGAGGTGCCAGGGCATCGTGGGCTGTTTGCTTGGTTCACGCTGGTCGGTGGCATGGGCATGGGCTTCACCCAAGACCCCAAAGGGAGCTTCTCTGCCAGCCAAGCAGGCCTTGGATGTCTCTCTCGTGTTAACATTTGCCGGTTGTGAATTAATCACAGCCGCTGCTGCTGAGCCACCCGGTGGCCTCCTGGAGGCTCTGCATAGCACCAAGCACGTGTCAGGAGTAGGAGCTGATGTCACTGTTTTTTTTTTTTTTTTTTTTTTTTTTTCTTTTTTTCTTTTTTTAATCAGTACCAGGGATCAAACTGTCACTGTTAATGCAAACATGCAAGGCACCTGCAGTCCGCTTCCCGGGAGCCAGGGGTCAGCTCATGTTCCATGGCCACTGTGGCCGCTGCACCAGTTGCTCTGACTCTGGAGTGAGTTAGGGAGGGCTTGGGGTGAGGATGCCCCTCCCCAGGAACACAGGGCTGCATAGCCCAGATGCCTGAGGCCAAGCATTCGGGCTCCACCTGCCACTGTGTGAAGATTCTTGTGTCCTTCCTCCCCAGCAACAGACTTCAGGATGCGCCCAGGAGCCAGGTCATGGCTCCAGCTTTCAGGCTGCCATGACTGACTGGTGGAATGCAGATGCCTTATCCCCCTGAACCCCACACTTAGCCCACTCTGGTTCAAGATATTCATCTTCCTTCTTGGTGAGGACTTGACACAATGGTTTCCTTAGTGTCCTTTCATTCAAGAATGAAATATTTCCTTAGTACAGTTATTTTTTACCATATATTGAGTGATTTGCTGCTGAGGCACACAGCCTTGGGAAGCATGGTCCTCCGGGTGAGTATTAGCTCCGTTTTTCAAGTGCAACTTAAGCTATTTTCTCCCTCATTGCAAATAACTTTGAGCATAGAAGTTACTCATTGACATGAGCAAAAATGGACTCTGGATCTTTTTTTAATTCCCAGCACCATTTCCCTGACAGAGTTGGAGTGTGGCTGGAGCAGCACATTCCTTGGCATGTGCCATGTTGAGATCTGTAACATGCAGAGCTGGTGACATACATGAGCACTGCATGAAAGTGCTTAAGGTCACAGCAACCTCGAATATCTGGAAGGTTTATGATTTCCAACCTCTTTAGGCTTGCTGTAGTGTTTTTTATAAAAACTGAAAAAAGAAAAATACCACTTAGATTTAAAAAAGAAAAAAAAACTGGCAACTAAATATGTAAGATGCTGCCTTGGTTTGGATTCATTACAAAAGTTCTACCTGAAATCATTCATCTGCAAATTTTTATACTAAAATCAGTGGCAGAATATAACCTAGGTTGGTATTAAATGGCTATTTTATTGGTAGCTTTCCCATAAATATCTTTAAAAGCTTTTTCACTTTAAAGTTTATCTATATTTCAGGAGAAATTTACTAAACATAACTTAATAGACCACAGAATGGATAAGTACAGAGTGTGAACTTTAACAGCAAAAATATAGTGCAGGATGTTTCCCTTACTTGGACTTGTTCTTAAAATACCAGAAACCATGGGAGTCGGTTCAGTGAGGAATGTATGAGAGCTTTCAGGCTCGGGCACTGCTTTGCCACTGGCCAGGCCCCAGAGCACACTGCGCTGGTCGAGTCCCCGTGTGGCAGGGACCATGCAGTGTGAACTAAGGCTCTCTTTCAGTCACCTCTGTACCACCTCGTGGGAATCTGTGAGATAAGAGGCATGGCAGCAAAGGCTACCAGGTCATAATAAAGAACAATAACCGCACACAGCAGTTCCCTGCACCACACAGGGTGACTACCGACTAGGGGCTGGTGGGAAACATTTCTCACCTTCCACTAGGGCTTTCTGAGAGGGAGACCAGAGTGGACATGCCACATCCAGAGCTCAACTCCAAGGGTTTAGAGTCTGGTGAGACCTCCAGGGGCGAGGCCCATGCTGTGGTGGCTGGACAGGGCTGGTGATGGGTCCTGATCCGAGGGACCTTCAGCCACTTTCTGTGATGGGAAGGGCTCAGCGCAGAGCAGACCCCATGGCCAGGGGACAGAACCATCCATGTCCACGACTCTAACCTTCACACACACATGTGCACACACATGCACATCCACCCAGCTATGCACGCAGCTGGCCCTTACCCTTCTAATCAGTGCCTCTCAGACCAAAACCTGTAAAACCTGCTGACGAAACAAAAAGACAGATCGTGCCTAACTTGCTTAATCTTCTCTAAGCTTCGCTGACAAAGCTCGGCAGCCACACTGCCTCTGTGAGGGGACGTGGCTGGATTTGGTTCATTGAAAAGACACAGAAGTAATGTTGGGTGATTCTTAGATTTTCACATTTGTAATTGAAGAAAAAGGAGCGAGGAAGCGCATCACCCAACAGACCTTTGGTCTACAAATCCTCTGCTGAGCATCTTTCTCGTTCTGTACCCAGGGCCGCTCCCACATCTCCTGCATGCCTGGGACGGTGCGTCGCTGGAATTACCCATCGCCGCTCTGCATTGGTAAGGCAGCACGGGAACAGCAACCAGGACCCTGGTTCAGGGTGACAGACACTGTATCCCCTTCCTCCTGGGCCCCGATGTCCTGTGGGCCACACTGGGACCCCTTCCAGGTCACCCTGCAACACCCAGGGACCCACTTCTTCCACCTGGCCTTCTCTGGGCACAGGATGCTTTGGGAGGTGTCTCGGTCACTTTTCTCTCATTGTTGAGAGGACATCTGACACCTGATAGTAAAGGTGTCAGGTTTATTTTACAGTTTGTGGAAGTTTCAGTCCTTAATCAGCTGACTCCAAGGCAGGGTGGCAACCATTCATGCAGGTGAAGACAGCAAAAGAAGCAGGAACAAACATGGGAAGACCAGCCTCTTTCCCTCATATTGTATGCAGTCTACAAAGATTAGGGCAGTGCCAATCCAACCTGAGGCTGATCCAGAATCATCTTCCCTTAACCGTCTACACACTCTAGACCCACACACTCTAGACTCAGCCTCCTCTGAACACAAAAGGCTTTGGAGGGAGCACTAGACATGAGCCATGATGGGATCCTGCTAGACACAACCACAATAATGGTGCATTGATCCCTGCAGGCCAAGGAAGTCTCCCCCACGTCTCACACACATCCTAGTGAGACAGTCACTGTCAGGAAAGCACCACCTATCCGTAGTCAGAGCATCATGTTTATTTATAACTGGCTGGTGTCTTATTTTGTGAAACTTCCTGGTAAAAATGAATGTCCTGATCCTTGTGTCACCTACACTCCTAAATTTATTTGTGTGGAGATTGGAAACCTCAGCCCTGGTTTGCAGGAAGAAGTGGGAGGGAGCCAGGTGATCTGATAGAACTTGGGCCTCCCTCTTTGTTTTGTTTTTCCACATTGTTTTCCTTAAATGTGGGAATTCCCATGCAGTCAACCTTGACAGTTGACTCCAACCTTGACTCCATAGATAGTGGCTCCTGAACCAGGTCCACTCAATGCCTCCCTAAACTTCAGCAGCTGAGTGAACTAATGCTTGCTGAGGAACTCTGAGCACACCTAGAAGACAAACTGAAAATCTCTCTGTGCTCCCAGCAGCTAGCAGAGAGGGCGAACTGAGCCCTCTTGGAACTGGAGCATGGAATCTCATGCATTGGACAGGGTATGGGAGCCCACTTCCATCATGGGCTGAGGAGAAATGTTGGGTTACAGCTCTCGGGAGCAGGAGGGCCCACTGGACTAATGGCCATTGTCCCTTACAGCCACCTGTGGAGGGATGCTCACTGACCCTGGGGGTGTGATCTTGAGCCCCGGCTTTCCCGGCTCCTACCCCAACAACCTGGACTGCACCTGGAAGATCTCACTGCCCATCGGCTATGGTGAGTAGGGCAGGGCCCACTCCTGCTAGGCCCCTTTGTCGTTCTCCCTGGAAAACGTCCCTCAGCTTAAAATATGTTCCATGTTCTAGGATTTCAGTAAAGCCTCGGCAGAGTACCTTTCATAGCAGGAAGTTATCTGTGAGTCCATTTAACCAGCATCTTCTCTCCTCTTAAAGTAATGGAAGGGGCTCAGGAAGTGCAGAACTCCAAGGTGGATGGAGAGCAGCAGTCACTCAATCAGTCTGTTCACAGTTTCTCCTCTTACCATCTCTCTCTGGAACTCAGGCATGCTCATGGCCCCTTCCAGACAATTTTGAGACTTTTTTTTATTTAAAGAGAAAAAAGAAAGAAAATAAAATAACCAAGCAGTAAAAGGGTACAAATAATATAGAATTTCAAGAAAAAAAAATACAGTAAGAAATCACTACTTAATAGGTTACATATTGTCATCTTAGAAACAGTTGTCCAAATTATAAAATTAAAGCATATAAAGTAGACATTCATACAGTGAGATTGCAGACAGTTCTGTTCAATGATCCAACAAAAGCTCAGAATATGGTTTTCCATCCTACACACTCAACCATACATGCAGTTATATCCCTTAGACCACCTTCCTTTCTTCTCTTTTTTATAATAACAATTACACTTTTTGGGTTTTTTTTTACTCCCACAGTTCTTATTACTTTTTTTTTGAAGAGAATAAAAACTAACCTGACTAAACAAAACAGAGTGGGTTAGAACAGAAGGATGGGCATAGTACATGATGCAAAAATAGAATATCAGGTGATGAAAAATGGTTACTATTGTGCCTCTTGCTATTTTTAAAAAGAGTTGCCTATATCATCAGGTATAATAGAATTGATCAAAACAGTACAGAACAAGACCAATTAAACTTACACTGGAGACCTTACAGGACTTCAAAAGAAGGTAACAGCCAAACCATAATAGGCATCATAGTAAATCTTATTGCCTTCAAAGTGGTTGCCTATACCCTCAAATTTGATACTATCAAACAAAATAGAATATAGTAAAATCAGACAGAACAAGATGGGGAGAGCAATACTGGGGTTCAAATCAGGTTAATAGGAAAACAAAAAATTTACTATAATATATCACACTATTTTTTAATTTAGTTTTCCTTTAATTGAAAAAAATAAGAAAAAATAGATTAATTTTTAAAAAAGGTGAGGGTTGAGATGAAAGAGGACATTGTAACAGAACAACACAGGTCAGAACCAAACAATTTAAGCATCATTGTGTTTCACCCCCAGATAATCTAACATAATAGTAGTCACCATAGTGCCTCTTTCCTTGAATTATTTGAGTATAACTTCATATGCTATAGCATCAAGCATATCAAGACAGTGTGAAGCCATTCAAGAGAATGCAAGAATTACAGTGTATTTAGAACTAGCTAATAGAAAACAAACAACGGTTTCTATATTATCACTTTGCCTATAAAAAATCTTGTTTATACTATTGCATATAGTAAAATATAGTAAGATACAACATGTTAAAACCAGTGGGAACAGATGTACAACAGCTTGATGGGACTTCAAAACAAGATGATAATAAATCAACACTAGCTTTTATGATATGTTGTTTTCTTCAAAATAGCTATTTGTACTATCACTGCTTTCTTTAGGTTGGGATGCATAGTAACAAGGGCAGGAAATGCACATTTGAAATGACAAGATTGTTTTACTAACATTATCATATATTGATTATGCATGCATTTATGAACTTCTAAAAAATATTCACTTAACATTCAGAGTGCCTATTTTAAATAGGTCATGGTTTGAGTTGCTATAAACCTGCAGTCTTGGCTATCTTCAGAAGTGCTTGTGTCTTAACTACTTTTTCTCTCCTTGCTGAGACAAAATACTCAACACCCAAAGCTAAAGAAGAAAAGGTTTATTTAAATCACAGTTTGTGGAGGTTTCAGTCCATAATCTGCTGGATCCAAGGCAGAGGGCCACATGGCAGAGGGGCAACAGTTGATGGCCGTGGAAGACAGCAAAAGCAACAAGGGAAGGAGAGAGGACAGATCTCTCCTGTCACTCATACTGTATGCAGGCTACCTGCCCTAGGACAGACAGATAATCCCATCATTGGCATGAATCACTCAGCCATCTCTGAAAGTCAACCCAAACCCCATGACTGCATGAGGCTTTGGAGAAACATCTAGACACTAAGCATAGCAGCTTGGTCTTGGTGAAATTTCCATTCTCCTGCATGGTGGGCGGGCCCTGCCAGGTATCCTGTAGGACAAACTGACTAGATTCTCACAGGCTGAGTGAATGTACATCAGTCTAGAAATGAATACAAACCTAAGGGAAATCATTACCTGGAACTCTGAATGCAAACCTTTTAGAGATGAACACCCAAACCCAGCCCAAAACCCAAAGCACTAACACCACAATTAAACCTGAAGATGGAGGTTTCTATTGAGAAAAGACAGCTCAGACATTTACACCTTCTGTCCTAAAAGGAAAACAAAGAAAGTGTGTGCTGCCATTCATTAGCACTAATCTGGAAGAGCACTTTCCCTTATCTTTTTTCTTGAAGCTTTCTTTTTATTTCATGAAAAAAATAAAATTTCCTAACACAATAATAAGAGAAAAGCAGATAGTACACTGTGCACCATTATCTTCAAAGTAGTTACTCAAAGCACAAGACACAGACCAAAAGATTTTCTCTTCCAAAGACAAAACAGACACAGGAGTGTCTTTGCAGTGAACCAAGGGAAACTTGGGGTGTAAATGGAACAAGTTAGTCTGTATTTGACAGTATTTTGAAATGACAGAATAGGTAATTTGGGGAGCAATTTGAGCCCCCTGCTTCCTGCTGGTCACCATGAGTTCTGTACCACAATTCCAGAGGTGCAGATGGAGGCCAGGGAAGGAGGCCTGCCGTGCACGGTGGAAGGTGGGTCCTCACTGGCCACCCCAGAGTGTGGCACAGGAAGGGCACAGGCAGGAACTGGAAGAGTTGAGTCCCCGACCCAGCAGACTGTAGGACTGTCTTTGCCCCGTTCGGGGTTCTTCCTGGCTTAAGTTACATTGCAGTGTTTGGCAGACCGTGAGAGGGCATGGCTGCTACTTTTCAATGGTGCATGGCTTTGGTGGCTGGGAACGCACAGACAAGTCAGTCCCAGCACTCCTGGCCCTCTGTGGTTTCCACCAACTCCCCTTGAGCCAACTGTTGTCCCACAGCCTCTCCCCTGCTTTGCACACACAACTGAAAACAGTGTCACAAGGTTTTCTCGGTGCAACCTGGCTGCAGCTGCCTGAGACACATCACCTGGGCCCCCGCAAGAGCTCCTGGGTCCCCCTCTGCCCAGCACTGCATCCACCCAACCACCTCCCCTTTCTCTGTGCTGTCTCTCATTTGGACAGTAAGCTCCTCACATAATTGCCCACATCAGAAGCAAACCCCAGAGTAGAACTTTGCCCTGGGAATTCTGAGACAGCTGCTTTGGGCGGAGCGCTTGAGTCTGCACATATAAAGCAGTCCCTCAAGAAGCGAAGTTTCTTACACATTAAAAGAATTGGAAATATGTTACAGGCAGACACGTTATCTATTAATGATAAATTCTCCCTCTTTGGTCTTTCGAAGCTTAGGAGATTTTGGAACATGGCTTACAGTTATACTCAAGAAAGTAACAGCAAGAAACCTGGGAAGTCAGGTGGGAATTTCCGCTGTGTGTGGGGAATTTCTGCTGTGGTCACACTCAGTGTCCAGCAGAAGCCTCTGCTGCAAAGGTGTCCTCGGAGGCCAACTTGGGAAGTTACAGAGAAAACAGTTTCTGCCTGAACGCAGAGGAGAGGCTTGTGTGAGGTGATGCGCTGTGGTCTGCTCAAGAGCCCTCACTCTGCTTGATGTCAGGAAACAAAATTCCATGGGCAGCATCACTGGGGATCTCATCACACACTTCTTCCTTCAGGTCCAAAGAGGACCCCAGATTTCCCGTGAACGGGGTCTCCTTAGACTTCAGAGCGCTGAGAAGGAAATGCCTATGTACACTCAAGGAGGCAGGGTCTGCACTTTCCCCAAGCACAGCCAGGCTGTTGGGGGCTGTTAGCCACCTGCAGGTGGCCATACTGGCACTTAGGGACCGGCACTTTCAGTGTAAGTCATCTGGAAGTGCACAGGGCTCCTCAGAAGACCACTGTTAGTATTGCTTACTTGTGATGAACTGGTTTGGGGTGGAGATGTGGAAAGCAAAGGATTTTGGCAGACTAGAATTGGAGGGAGAACGTGATGGAGTAGGAAATAGTCTGATAAATCAGAACTCCAGGTGAATTACCAATAAACCCCTGCACTTTCAAAGTATCCTTAAATACTCTTAAAATACATAATTCAGGGTATTATTAAATGTAATTTCTGTTCCTGAAACTGTCAGTCTCTTTCTCTCGCATCCTTTGTGTTTCTGTCTGTCTCTCATTCTATGTCTCTCTCCATCTCTCTGTGTCTGTCTCCATCTCTCTCACTTTCTGTCTGTCTCCATCTCTCCCTCTGTGTCTCTGTCTGTCTGTCTCCATCTCTGTCTCTCACTCTCTGTCTCTCTTTACTGCCTTGTACCCCTGTAAGCCTCAGACTTGGCTCCTTGAGCCGGACTATGGTGCTGTGGACTGTGAATACTCAGCTCCCCACTTACCAGATGACCCAGTGTGGTGGCCTTTTATTGAAGAAAACTGCACTTATTTTTTCCCACTCAGGACAGGTTTGATCAGGTGCTGTAGGACTCTCCACACAGCTGGACACTGATGCAGCTGCCCAGCAGATGAATGACCTTTAAATCAAATCACTGACCCCACCCCCTCACCCCCACCGCCAGCCCTGTGCCCGGAACCCTCAGTGGTGTATTAAACAGCAAAGACCGATCGCCAGCTTTGCACCAGTGAAAGGCCCTTTGCCCTGCCTCTGTAATCACTGGGCCCTGATCCATGGGGCAGCAGGTCCTTCCCAGCATCCGGGTGAGACCCTGCACCTGGCTCTCAGAACCCGTGCCCACAGGCAGGCAAGACCCAGCAGGTCACTGTGGCTCAGGGCTTTGGATTCTGGCTTCCACTGAGGAAAACTCCTGGCTGCATCCATCACTGGCCAAATAAATTGACACACAGCCCATAATGTCCCCAAGCCCAGTTTTCCTAACTTTAAGATGAGCAGAACGCAGTGCCCAGCCCCTGGGGCTGGCGGGAAGTGAGGCACAGGCAGGGCTGTGGCCACATCCTCAGCGCCCACTGCCTTTAGCAGATGAAGCAGTCCTCTGAGCTTTGTGCTGCTTCCTTCACCCCTTGCAGACCTAGGATGCTGCTAGCTGTCACTGTGAACAAGCTGAATCTGCTGCGAAGTTTTCCCTGTATTTTTTCAGAAACATATCAGTTAACAGAAAAGCCACCGAGGAACCATGGTCTTCCAGTTTGGCTGCCACCACTAAGGGTTCACACAGTGCTGCCCCAGATTGTCATGGTCCTGGGCCCTCTTGTACCTTAGAAGAAACAGAAGCGTCTTTAGGTATTTACTGGGACATAGAGACATGGGGCAGCGGAGTTCACCTCTACAGGCTCTGTCCAGGAGGTGAGGCCTGGCTCTGAGCCAGGGATGCATCCCTGTTCAAACTGCTGTCAAACCCGGGCGAAACTTCTCTGGGCAGTGTCTGTCCACACTGTGATTTTCTGTGTGTGTGCAGGTGGCACCAGTGACAGCCACTTAGCTCGGTTTCCTTGTTGTAATAATACAGTCCTGAAACACTTTGTATGATAACAGGGTAACTGGGTCACAATTCTTTTAATTCCTTCAATCAGGCTGAAGGACTTCAAACGGGACACGATTTGCTGAAAGTTAGATAGCTAAAATTTCGGCGTTAAGCCAGATTAGAGCTGGGCTTGGTTCTATTTCCTGAGAGGCATTTGGGCCTTTGGTGCCTGGATCCTTTATCCTGCTTAAAATGGTAATTTTGTTCACAATATTGTAATTGTCCTGAGTCTGTTTCCATGTCACCTTAATTCCTGACAAGCAGAGGCATGCTGCACCCTGGCCGATGCCCAGGAGACTCTGCACACTGCCAGCTCTCCCAGCTCTGGACCTGGGCTCTTCTTCCACCCGTGTCACACCCTGAGTCCTGACATGTGTCTCTGGAGAGTGCCTCTAACGTGCCCTGTGCACATTGAAAGTGCACAAAACGTTCCCTCGTGCATCGAGACGGCATCCCATGTACCGTTTGCTTGTCACCTGGTCCCCATGTTCCACCACTGTACTCGTCTCCGATGCTCTGGTTGTTTTTTGAAGGTCAAAGAATTGTCAGAGACTCATGGCATCTCCTGTCTCCTCATGTCACCTGCCAGTCACAACTGCGATGGACGTGACTGGGCCTTGGCAGGCTGTGTGGACCCAGGGTGTCTCGGTGTCCACACACTCGTTCACACACACATGGACACGGTGTATACCTTCCTTAGCAGTAGTGACATTCATCTGCTTGCAGGCCAGGCTGCTTTGGGGACAGTGTTGGGTGAGGGCAGTCGGACCCGACGTGCAGCCCATGAGGTCACCTGGTTCAGCCCTGCACCCGGCAGAGTCCCAGTGCCACCTGCTTCCTGCCTCTTCTCTCCTTCTCATCTCCCCTGCTTCTCAGTTTCTTTTGACCAAAACCTTCCATCGAATTTAGAAAACAGCGAAGGGGTCATTGTGGCACCGGCTGCTCAGGGAAGAGCAGCTCTGGGAGGTTTCGAGAGCATTTGTACAAGTGCTGCAGCCACCTCCACTTGGTGACCCGGTGGTGGCACGCCCACCCTGCACATGGCTTTCCCAGGCTGTGCCCGTGCCACAAATCCCACCCAGTACCAGAAGGATGGTGGTGACATCCCAAAGACTTTCCTTGTCTGCTGCCTCCGCAGCCTCCTGCAGGCATTTTCTACTTTCTGTCTTCTTTGTTCATCCTTTCCTATCTAAGTTGGACCAATTGATGCAAACCTGCTTTCTCTAAGAAGCAGCGGAGTAGTTTTACTCTCATGAGGTTGTGGGCGCTTGCGTGATTCCATGCTGAACCATGAAATAGAGAAGACCCCTGCCCGCCACAGCTGAGTGCGCCCTCACTCCGCCTTTCCCAGCCCCAGGGACGCAGTAGCCCAGGCTTCCGGGCTGTGGTTTCCCCACCTGTGCGATAAGACAGCAGTAAAGATGACCTGGCTGGTGGCTTCAAGGCAAAGCTAGCAAACCGGATCCAACCACTCCCGAGGGCCTGTACTGTCTGGTCCACAAAGGCCATGATTGTACTATTCTTTTATCTTTTATCAGGACATTTCCTCCTCTGTTAATGAAACTGCTTTGTTGTAGTTTTGGGGTTTTTTGTTTCATAGTTTAAATTTTATTTAATGTTATTTTTAAATTTTTCTCCTTTTCCTTCTTGAGGAGAAAGAACTAAGTTTTCTAACTTTCTCACTGGCTTAGTTTTGGTAATCCCCTGTTCCAACACAAAGTGAAGCTTTGGTCATGGTACCTATTAGTTACCAGCTCATGACCAAGTTAATCACTTCATACATAGATTTATTCAAAGGCGAATGCATTTGGATCAGTGTAGACTTTCTGAACGGGTTGAAATCTGGAGATACCCTACTTACAGTTCCAAAGGCTGCAGCACACAGCGATGTCTCTGAAGTTCCCTGGGACTGACTTTCTTCTGTCATGGGCTGCAGTGGCTTGTTTGGTTGCCGGCTCAGTGGGACTGCAAAGGGACTGGTTGCTGAGACAGCCATTGGGCTCAGGGTACTGAGCCAGTCTATGGGGATGAATTTGGAGTGCTGGAGTGGGGTACATCAGATGAGTTTTTAATTAGCTCTGCTAGCATTTTAGGGTTGATAATAGCCATTTGCTAAACTTACAAATGTCTTGTACTATTTTATTACTATCCAGGCTGCTTAAAGGTCACTTTTAAGGTCTGTGGATTACTTTTTCAGGACTGGCTTCTCCCTTGATGAAGTCGTAATTAACGTGTGGATGGTGTAAAATCTTCACGTCCAGCCTTGATCTCAAAGGTGTGGTCACTGTTCACAGAACCACATGGCCTGCTGCTGTAAATGTGTGTGCTGGTCACCATGATAACCTGCGAGCCTGTGTGTGTCTGTAATGCAGGGCTGGCAGTACTCACATCTCACAAGTACACTGACTTGCAGACCTTAACTTACAGACAAGGCTCATAGCGACCAATAGGGCAGGGATAAAAGTGAACCAAGGCCCAGGTCATCTGAAAGGCCTTCCCTCTTCCCTGAGCTGCTCTCTAATACACACTGAAAGCTACGATCACCGGTGAGCGCTGGGTTTACAAAGTTGTGTAAGCACTTGCAGCATGTTTGCTTGTATGCCCTCCCTAGGTACCCACATCCAGTTTCTGAATTTCTCCACCGAAGCAAACCATGACTACCTGGAGGTTCAGAACGGGCCCTACCCCACCAGCCCAATGATCGGGCAGTTCAGCGGCCCCGACCTGCCCTTGTCCCTGCTCAGTACAACACATGAGACGCTCATCCGCTTCTACAGTGACCACTCACAGAACCGGCAAGGGTTCAAACTCACCTACCAAGGTAAGGGGCCAGGCCTCTCACAAGCAAACTGAGTCAGTGTGACTCTCCTGAGTTGGTTAAAACTGCATAGCTGGGTGGGTTTGGAGGGCACAGGGCTCCGATCAGTGGCGGAGCACCTCTGTCTTTGGGCACTGCATTCAGAACAGGAACAGAAGGGCTGGGCATCTGTACCTCCCATGGCCCTGCCCCTACCCACTCTTCCGTGGCAGGTACTGTCCACCTGTCAGCCACAGGACCTTGGCATCTGTCACTTGTGGCACTGGTCGAGGGTGTCCATTACAGGGGTCAGGGGCTGCCTGCATCTCCTGTGGGTGTGCCATGTCCTGGCACTGAGGACAACTGCGTGCACTGCTCGGGTTAGGCTAAGACCAGAAGAAAGGCATGAGCATCTCCTTGTTTTCATCCAGCCAAGTGTGAGATCCCTAAGCAAATTTGGAATCAACTGTGATGAGAGCACTTCTGATAGGTAAAGAAGTTCAGCTCATTAATTTCCTATGAAATCATTTAGCTGCCTTCTTCTGGAAAATCACTAAATAGATGAAGTTAAAAATGTCAGACCTAGGGCTTTTTCTTTTTGTAACATAACTCAGTTGTGTCCTGGTTTTATAGACCATCTTCAGAAGCACTTTCCATGTTTACTTCTGGCAGAGGCAGGGATTTTATGCTGGACTCTTAGGCATTGTTACTGAAACTGTCATGCAAGTGTAAAGCACTGGGGTAGACGTCCTAAGGGTGTGCCTGTGAGCAGGAAGACAGGCACAGGAAAGCAGACAGGGAGCAGAGGCCAGACCCTGTGCCAAGGGGTCTCTGAGCACCTACAGAAGATCTGCACACCAGGCCATCACTGCCACTGCATGTGTCCCCCTCCTCCTCCTCAGGAGGCACACTGCTCCCCGCTAGACAGCACATGTGAGCATGCACACACACACACCTGTACACATGTGTTCACATGGCACACACGTGTAAACAGGGAGCTACAGGCAGGAAGCAGCTTCTATGATGGAGGTGCTGATCTCTGGTAAGAGCACTCCTCTCTTTGTCACAGACACGTGCACACATGCATGCACACATGCATGCACACATGCATGTACATTCAAGCTGCTGAGCAGTGCAGCGCTCTGCTCTTTGCTCTCAACACCCACTCCCTGAGGGATCTCCACAGTTCTCAATGTGTTCCCTGCGACACCTCCCTCCCCATCATCCTCTGTGCTCAGGAAGTCCTAGGGTCCCCAGGTCCTCCCAACCATGTGGCCTTTGCAGCCTCAGTCACCCTGGCTGCAGTGCCCTCCACCCTGCTGGCCTCGGCCCACAGGACCTGTTGCCCCATCAGCTCCTTGGGAAGAAGTAGGGTTCTTGCTGGGTTCCCATGTGTGGAGGTCACTGGTACCACTCACCAGATCCTTCCCACCATGCTCGCTTTGGGAATTGATTGCAAATGCACTTTGTGACTTAGGCTGGCAGGGTGGCAGCCTGTGACTGGGGAGACCTGGGTGGCAGTCTGAGGATGGGAATGTGAAGCCAAGTGCAGTCTGCTTGTAGGGTACTGGGGAGCCAGTCCCCATGGCAAACCTCAGCCTCCCTGGGTAAGCTTTGTCCTGGGAGTCACCAGGCTACTGTGGCATGAGCCCTCCAGAAGGACACACACATCCCTTGCCTCTCAGAGCAGTCAGGGATCTGGTGCCTGAGCTCCTGCTACACATCCTCCTCTTCTGAAAAGAAGTGACAGTGTACCCACCTCCCATGCTCTGTGCTCAGCTCTGAGCACCTGAACTAAGTACCCAGGCTGGGCTCTTTCTTCCTCACTGAGTCAAGTCTGTGTGCTACAGATTCTGACAGCTAAGTCTGCCAAACAACCCAGCTCAATGCAGGCTGCCTAGGCAGGGGATCTGGTGCTTCTTCAGGGGTCATGCCTTAAAGCCAAAGAAGGTGGTGAGGATGGCAGGGTTTTCATTTCTCAGCAGGGACCAGGACCAGCCTCGAGACCTGGCTGTCTTTGCAGAAAGCTTTGAGAGACATCAGGTGCAGCTACTCAGACAGAAGCTTTGTGGGGCCCAGACAGGTGCTTGGCTTCCTTCCTTTCCATCTCTTCTGCTATCTCCATGAATCCCAGGGGCAGATGTCTGCAAACAGGATTGGCCACGAAGTGAGACATGGCCCTAGAAAGAGGGCACTGTTTGGAATCTGGCCCCATCTGCGGGAAAGAATCTCCTCTGAGGTTCCTGGATGAAGCGGGTGTAAGATGCCCTATTGGTGCCTGCTTGGTAGGACTTCAGGGCTGGGAGCAGGGAACAGAGCAGGCCTAGAGCTCAGATCATGCACCCTAAAACCCATCAGCAATAGCAACCAGAAGCAGCTGACCTCCCCTTCTTTGGGTTGATTCAGTACAGTCTGGGAACTGAACCTAGGCCCTGCACAAATTCCAGGCTCTTATTCTGCCCCAACCTAGCCACTAAAGCTTCAGTGATTAGAACTGCAGACAAAGGAGAAAGACAGACCCAGGAGAGCAGCGAAGCGAAGGGGATCTGGTGCATCCTTGGGTTCTGACAAGCTGCACGGGCTGCGCTGAAGACTCACTTATTCCATGAGCCTGCAGTCAGGGAGTGCGGAGGAGGCTCAGGCTGCAGCTCGCTTCTCGGGCTCCTCCTCCTGAGGTCACTTTCCCACCAAAGTTCCCTGTGGCCTTTCAGCATTCATGTGTGGGGTTTACAGAGTCAAAGACACAGGCCAGCCCCAGAAAGCAAACAGCTGAGAAACAAGACTGAGATGAAGCAAAAGACAGGTTCCGCGAGGAGTCAGGACTCTGATACTGATTCTGTTGTGAACCCTGACTCACGCTTGGGCCTACACCCGCCCAAAAAGTAACCAAAATCAGAACAAAGCTGGCCTCGCACTCCAGATTCTCTGTTACTGGGAATCCTAGGTCAAATTCCCTCTCAGCTCTGATGTGGGTGTGGGCAGCACTAGCGAGTGTCCAGCAAGGTCCTGGCATACAGGACTGATTAGCCCTGAAGTGATGGGATCTCATCCCCTTCGAGACGGTGCACATCAGTAAGAGGCTGATGGGGCTGGGCAGCTATACCGTGGGCCTGCAGTAACTGTCTCAAAGCTGTGCTGCCGCTGCTGGATTTCAGGGCAGTGCAGTCCTGTGATGGACACAGACCAGCAGAGCCACCCCTAGGCCTGGAGCCTCCACAGCTGTGATGCCATGGCTGAGAGAACTGCCTACGGGATGCAGGACCCCACGGACCCTTAGAACTGAGCCCCGGCCCTGCCTTTCTTCTAACTTCCCAATGGAAGCTTTTCTTTTCCTACTAGTAAGTCCTCTAGTTTTAATTTCCATTTCTGCTAAAGCAGGGAGCCATGCCAGCTGGTTACAGTACCAGCATGACGGCAGCATGGTTCTCATTCAAGCTAAATTCCTAGCCCAGCTAAGACCTCTCTGCAAGCACCCAGCTGGCCCTGTCTGTGGCTTCCTCCTCTTCTTCACTCCTCTGGTTGACTTTTTTATTCACTTCCAACAAAATCTCAACTGTCTTGGTTACTTTTGTCTCATGGCTGAGACAAAATACTGAAAAGCCAAAGTTGAAGGACGAAAGTTTATTTAGCTCACAGTCTGTGGAGATTTCAGTCCATAATCTGCTGGCTCCAAGGCAGGGTGGCATGGTACAGGGCAACACCCCCAAGCAGCAAAAGCAAAAGATGAAGAGAAGAAGCCTCTTCTCTTCCCTTATAGTGTAAGCAGGCCACCCACCCGCCAGCCCCCACCCCCACCCCCACCAAGGGCAGGTACTGCACTCACACCATCCCCCTGCCCTCCCCTGGCAGAGGCAGAGGATGGTTACAAAGTGAGAACCCTGCTGAGTTGCTTAAACTTCAAACCTCTCAAGTTGAAACAGTGTATCAACTATTGCACCACCCAGCCCCACTCTTCTTAGGTTTGTTAACCTATTGCTGGCTCCCTTCCCATGCTAGTTTTCCAGAAAAGTTCCTGTGGTGGTGTCTGTTTAGTGTGTGCACTGGGTTTGGGCCTCATAAATCCTAAAAACTCCAAAGTCTTTATCATGTGTCCCTTTCCTGTGGCATTTGAATAAAAAATAAAGGCTCCATAAAAAGAGCATTTACAATGCTTTAACCTGATACTCAAACCTCTGTCACGCATTATTTATGAGGAAACAATCCTATGTCTTAAAACTTTAACCCATCAGCACAGTTTTACATAACTGATTAGTTTGTCATCTCATTTCCTTTTCCCTCTTTGTGAAGGTAATGGACACTGCACCCAGGGCCTTCACCTGAGCTGCTCCTAGGCCCATTTTCACCTTTTATTCTGAGACGAAGTCTCCATAAGTCACTAAATTGCTGAGGCTGGGCTCAGACTTGCAGCCCCCCTGCCTCAGCCTCCCAGGACAGTGTGCAAGACCACACCCAGCCAGTGCTTTGCATTTGAGAGAAGCTTTTAAAAGTACTGATCTAAAAATCTGCCTGCTTTGGAAGGGTGACGAAGTAATGCACAGGAGCCGCACTGTCCAGGCTCCTCTGAAAACACGCTCCACTGGACAAGGTCAGGATGAAATGGCCCTTAAGCATCTCATTTCCATTGTGTTGCCATCGGGGTGACTGGGGCCACTTGGAAGATATCACAAGCTCAGGCTGGAAGTGGTGGCCTGGGTAGACTGTGGGACAGTGTGGTGGAGACGAATCCTGGTGACTGTTCCCAGCAGCACCCTACCTCACATGTCCCTCCAGCAGACCTACCTTCCCTTCATTCTCCCGCCACCCCTGGCTGCGCTCCTGGACATGTGTGCCTGCATCCTGGGGACTGAGGTCGCTCACCACCTCGAGAGACAGCACCTCTGTCCCCTGGAAGCCCTTCGCTGTGCTGGCAGTGTTTGGTTTTTCTGTGCGCACACTTGTTTCCCAGAAAGAACCCGGGCTCCACTCCAAGATGAGCCTCGGGGGCTGGACAAGGATGTGAGGCCCCACCCGTGGCAGGCTCCCTCTTCACCCCTCCTTAGAGGTTGGGTTGGTTGAGTTACTCTGGGTTAGCAATCGTCTCTAATCTAATGACAGACTTGGAAAGGGTCTTGGATTTGATGTCAGTGTCAGATACATGGAATGTTTTCTAGAGGAGAAGCCACACTGCCTAGAGGGAATGTAGCTAGAACCACAGGACCTCAGAGGGGGAGAGCTGAGCAGTAGCCTTCACTGAGGGCTCCACACTCCTCTCCCAGGTTCCCAGCCTCTGTTCTTCCTGGTCTGTTTCCACAGACCTTCCTGTTTTGCTTGCTTTCATCATCTTAACCTTGGCTACTACCTGGTGCCTCTCACATTAAATTAGCACCGCACTAGTACTGAGCCTTAACCTAACTGCTGAGGACTGTGGACAGTGTTCACCTCAATGAACAGTAGTCACCTCGGGGATCTTTCCCACATTGAATATCTTCAGTGCTGTGCTCCGAAACTCAATTTTCTCTCCTGTTGACATGGAGCAAACCCAGATACACCTTCCCACTCTAAGACTGATTTCCTGTCTGTCTGTCTGTCTTCTGTAGTCTAACACTGGTGAGTAAGGAGAAAAAATGTGTGTGTGTGGTTTTTTTCTCAGCGTTTTATAGACAGCAATGTCTACGAAGTTACAAAAGACATTCATTATTTAACTCTAAAAAGAAACAATGGTTTACAAACAGATGCCATGAGAAGTCTCTGTAAGATATTTTTACAATAGGGGTCACAAATTTCTGTGATTTGCTGTGTTAGAACTTGTTGGCATTTATAATCGGATGTCATATAATCTCTGAGACACTCATGGGTCTCTGTCCCTTTTCCTCCTGTGATACCAGGACTAGAAGCCTCTGACCCAAGTTCTCAGGTGGGTGAACCCCTCCCCATGCTGGCCCCCTGCAGGGGTGAGCCCTGCCCCAGAAGCTTTGCCCAATGCCCACCTGTGTGACCTTGGGTGTCTGCATCTCCAAGTCATTCTTGGGACTAGCATTTGGCTGGCTAAGGGCTGGCACTCGACCCTCAGATTCCACATTAAAACTCCACTAAGTTAAAGTTAGTTTGTTTAGCCAAAGAATAGGAAAATCAGTGAAGCACAAAGAGAACATAAACCTCAAGTATTCCAGTGTCCTGAAGGTCATCACATTAAACACGGGTGATAATTATTTTTCCAGTATTTGTCACATTATAAATATTATGAATTGACAGAATGACAGTTGATTCTGACTTGTAAGTCACTTATAAAGTACTCTGAGATTGTACTTGTGATTTATATGCTAGGTTTATAGTGAATAACTCATAAGAAGGTGACTAAACCATGCAGATAATTCTTTTTCTCACAGTGATGTCTACATTGGGTGCCTTATTTTTAAACTATGTCATTTATTCTACTGCCTGTAATGTTTCTATCTAACTCAGCTGCCTGTAACAATAGGAAATACTCCGACCCTGTGCAAGGCGCCCTGGTCCCTTGGGGGTCCCCTGCTCATTCCCAGGAGCGCAGGCTGCTGGTGACCACTTGTGGGGTCTCCTCCACCCAACCCCAGTCTGACCCTTTGGGCACTGCTGTCCCTGTGTCACCCTCCCCACCAGTGCCTGCGCATGACCAGTCCTGTCCTTCCTGTCAGAGCAAGAAAGCCAAGGTCCGGCATTGACTGAGTGTTCACGTGCAGCCCCGAGTCCCACTTCCTGCTGCTGCAGGCAGGAGCCCCCTGCCCGGGCTCTTCCCCACTTATGGCCTTTCCCAGCATCCCTTCTGGGACCTGGTCAGGCAGGGCAGCTGTGCTGGGGGCCACCCTGGTTCCCAGCAGGGTTCATGATAGGGAGACAGAGCAGGGACACCTGTCCTGTGTGCAGGGTGGGTCCCTGTTACAGTCTGAGTAATGGAGTCTTAGGGAGACAGAGGGGCAACCTCTGGGCCAGGGGGCCAGCATGGGGCTCACTGGGCTCTAGGAAGATAAAGCCAGGAGTCAGCGTTGCAGACAGGTTTGCCACTAAATTATGGATAAGATTTAAACCCCCACGGATTGCAGGATTGCAGACAGCCTGTGTTCCATCCTGTTTCCTGGAGTTTATGCTAAGGAACAGAAGCATTTTCACAACAAAGCTTCACAAACTGTAACACAGGGGCTGGCCTAACAGTCACTGGTAGCTTCCAGATTTCACAGGTCTATGTTTAGCCTTAGAAACACTAAATGTGGATGGATTTCCCTATTTCATTTGTATTAAGATAGTAAGTTAAAGCAAAACAGCGAAGGGCCTTTTTCCGGGTGAGAAGCACGTGGACTACAGGGGTAGGGTGTTTGTTCTCCAAGGTGAAGGGTGAAAGCATTGTCCACGCCCACAGAGCATTCCTGATAGGCCTTATGATTCACTGTCTTACTTGTGTGTGTGTGTGGGGGGGGTGTGCAGGTGTGTGGGTATGTGCGGGTGTGTGTGCAGGTGTGTGTGTGTATGTGGGTGGGTGCACGTGTTAGCTACTTTTCTCATTGCTGAGCCTAAGTACCCAGGGCCCACAGTAAAAGCAGGAGGGTTACTTTGGCCTGGTTCACAGAGGTTTCTGTCCAAATCCAGCAGTCTCCCAGGCGGAATTGCATGGCAGAGGGAACTCACAGAGCAGAACCCGCCCACAGCAGGGCGGGAAAAAGACAGCAAGCAGCAAGCAAGTCTTATCCAGGCTGCCACCCTCAGGCGGGGCCACACCCTTGGTCCCAGCTGCACACCTACCAGAGACCCAGCCACCGCTGTGAGGCTTTAGGGACAGCTAGCTGGGCCTGGCAGCTTCAAACTGAGCTGCACCCCCAGCCCTTCTTGTTCTTTGTTCTGTGCCAGGGCCTTGGTGAGTCACTCAGTTGCCCAGACCAAGTTTGAATGCTCAGCCTTCCTGCCTCAGCCTCCCAGAGTGCTGGGATCACTGTCATACACCACAAGATCTGCTGTGTTTATATTATTTTAATTAAATTACAGCATATGCTTTCTTTCCTTTCTTTCAAAGACAAACATTGCCAAATTTATTTTTGTTACATGCTATAATTTTTAAAGCACGCAGTAAGTGCTCATAGAATGCATGTGATAATAGTAATAATAATAATAATAATAATTACTTTCCATATTCAGGATGACGCCTGATGACCTGGATGAGATGTTCCACTTCTCAGAAGCTGTGTGCGATCACATTCCTCCCTGTAATTCCACACTCTCCCAGATGACTGCAAAGCTGTCCTTTGTCATTTCAGCCTATGAGTTACAGAATTGCCCGGACCCGCCCCCCTTCCAGAATGGGTACATGGTCAACTCTGACTACAGCGTGGGCCAGTCCATCTCATTTGAGTGCTACCCGGGGTACATCCTCATAGGGCACCCCGTCCTCACCTGTCAGCACGGGACCAACAGAAACTGGAACCACCCCTTCCCACGGTGTGATGGTAGGTTCCTCCTCCCAGTGGATTCCCACTGGGTCCCATGGGGCATTGCGCAGTAAATGACCACGTAATTCTCCAGTTGATTCAGCAAATATTTGTAGGCCACCTCTGTTGTTATCCTCATCCCATTTAGTGTTTCCGGAATATATCAAATGCCAGAAGGTTCAAAACACCAGCTCTTGCTCTCAAGTAGATTATAAGAATAGGAAAACAATAAACACGCATGATTATAGAGCAGCCCGGCCGCAGGAGCAGCTAATCACGCGTGGGGGATGGGAGGGCGAGCAGTGAGCTCAGCGGGGCTTGGTCAGGGTGAGAGCAGCGGAGAAAATGCCATGCGTGGATTTGATTCTCAGAATTGTTCTGGGTTAATGTCTATGACCGTCACACACTGAGGCTGTGTTTCAGAGACAGTCTGTGCTGGTTGTGACCTGGAAAGACACTTGGGATTTTGCTACCTAGAGACAGCGGGCTCTGCAGGTGTGGGTCAGAGAATGGACAGAGAGGCAGGGCCAGACATTCCGGAGAGCTGAGCCCTGAGCTCAGCAGGGAGCGAGCTGGGGACCAGGCAGAGAGGGACAGTGGGTCCCAGAGGCCCCTCTGAGCCACACTTGCCTGGTTCCTGAGTTTTATGATGACTTAGGAACTCTGACAGACCAATTAGATAAACCGACGCAGGACCAAGTTCAGGAGGAATGCATGGGGACAGAAAACCCAAGGGGAGCCCACACACTGCAGTGTACATACTGTGCCTGCAGATGGGAGTGGGAAATAATGAAATTACTAAAATGCTCAGCACTCACATCCCATGGGAAAAGCAAAGTCACAGCATGGCTGAATTCCTACTGAAGATGCAAAAGCACATAGAAGACTTTTAAAAATCCCATTTTTACTCTGTTACAGATCATTATAAGAACTTCAGGGGACAAAAAAATTAAATATTTTTTTAAATTCCTCCACTAGTTCTAATACTTTTTAAGCTACATATAAACTTGCATATAAAATAATTTTATAAAAATAAGTGTAGCAGATAGATATGTGTATACTTTTTCCATTTAAACCATTAAAATTGTCTCTCATAGCCCTTTCCACTTGAAAACTCATATTTAGAGTTCAGGACACTCAGCACATCTGAGACTCAACCCCGAAACCTTCCAAAAAAATAAAAATACAAATAAAAACCCATACTTACATGTGTAACTTACTTTGAAAATTATGTGCACTGAATCCTTTTCTTGCTTGGGACTTTAACCTGAATTCCTTTAATTCACATATAAATGGTATATACCTCGGCTTGATAGGAACCAAGAGAGAATTAACTGTCTCGTTTACCTTTACTGCCTTTGAGATAACCGCTCAGGCTCAGAATCCAGCACCCTTCGCCGACAGTGCACACGCGTGTCTCCCCTGGTTCCTGGAGTCTGTACTCTGCCAGGTGCGGCTCCCACACCATTGCCAGCCTAGGCTTGGCCCTGGCCGCAGTCAGGCTCACGCCGTTCCTCTCTGAATGTGCATCCTGGGCACACGCAGGGGCTGGCAGTGTGGAAATCACCCGAGGGAAGGTTCGTGGGGTGGGGTGAGGGCACCCAGGCCTGGGGGACCCTTGGTGGCAGCGCCCGTTGAGCACTTCCTTTGACTCCCTCCTGGCCTGGGCAGTTGCTACGGTTCCCATTGGCTCCTGACTGTGCACCTGGGCTGCCCTCACCAGAACACACAGCCCAGCCCTGGCCTGGAAAGTTCTTTCTGGCGTGGCCCAGACCTCAGCCAGCATCTGGGCAGCACCAGCCCATGCGACCCAAGGCTGCTGCTGCACTCGTGGCAGGGCCAGGCCTTCTCTGACCAAACCCCACCAAGCAGTGACGTTTGTCACTGTGTCTTTCCTTCCTATCCATAGTGTCCAGGACAGAGTTTCAAAAATACTAAAATGAACTTCCTGTCAAATTACAGCATAACATAAATATCGAGAGGGATTGGAATATGTAGAGAGTATTCTCAGATGCACTCAATGTGCATTTACTATCCTCTCATAGTAAATTTCATTTAAAAATGAAAAGAAAACTGAATGGAAAAGTGCCTTTGTTTCCTAGCAGGATAGATAGTCGTGGCACAAAGATCACCAAGGCCAGTGCATCTGGGCAGGCTGACTTGCACCCCCACCCTGATGTAGCCCAGGAGCCGGTCACCTCGGCTGCCCACAGAGGCTGCCGGGCGCAGGAAGGTGTCATGGGTTCACCCTGAAGACCCCCTAAAACTAGCAAAAGAAACATAGGTACCAGGAGTGGCTTCAGGTATCTTTATTAGAAGTTGGCGAGTTCACACAATTAATATTGAAGTATTGTAAATCAGGAGTCATGTATTTTTATAAGGATACATTGAATTAGTTTGTGTTAAAATGCTAAAATCTGTATGTGTTACACTGAACAACTCTACTATGTAAAATCAGTGTATTCAAAATTTACCTGAATAAGAACTATGCTATAAAGATATCATACTTATTAAGATAAATGCATGTAAATGAAAAATAGACATTAAAGAAATGAGAAATTTGCATTTTATTCTTCTAGTACCATAATGATTCAGAAATCTCAGTTCAAAAATATGGTTTACCATCAACATTTGCTTTGCAAGGCTCTGGCTTATGAATTTGTTGTATAACTTTATAAGTAAATTTGCCTGTATATTTAGAAATTCATTTCGAAATATTAAATAGTATATTGACCTAGCAAATTCTTTTTACAGAGCTGTTTATGTTGTTACAACTTTCAGACAGCTTTAAAATGAAGTTAATCACTCTCATGATAATGCACAGCCGTGTGCTGAGAAGGGGGTTCTGCAGACAGGCGTCTCTCGGGTGCCCAGTGTGGGGCAGTTATGTGTCAGCAGCTCCACAGAGAGTGAGCCCTGGGAGTGATAATGGCCAGGCTTTTAAAATTCCTCATATCCGTGCTAAGATGTTTTCCAGCAACCTAATTTTTTCTTTACCTCCTCCTACTCTTAAAATTTAGGTGGAAACCTTAATGAGATCCTAGAAACACTGCTTGTTAATTATCTGTAATTCTCTTTGTGGCTATTTGGGGTTTTAAAATTTTAATTGTTCTGATTTTGATTGCTGATGCAGTTTTGCATTGCTTGTATTTTATGGAGAGAGGAGCACAGCACAAGGTGGAAATGGCATATGGCCCTTAGCCTGTCCAGCTCAAGCTCCTGGTTAAAGGGAAAGTGGGCTCAGATGCTTTCAGTCCTGAGCAGAGGACCACCGTGCTCACTAGCTCATCTTCTAGAACCTTCCAGCAAACTCAGAGCCTCTACCATGGTGCCACCCTGAACACCTCACACTTTCACCTTGGGTGTGAAGGTCAAGGTGACATTGCCTCCACCCCTCCTGACACAGCCAGTGCTGGCTCTGGAGCCTGGTCAAAGCAGATGGCTTTTGTGTTCCTTCCTGTCACTTCCAGTGGCCAGGGGGGCACACAGATGCTCTTCCAATCTACCTGTCCTCTTTCACCCAGGCTGACCACTGCTCTGATCTCACTGCTAACTTCATGTCACTGTGGCACAGTGGGGACCTCGAGAGACAGCACCCAGAAGACAGAGGGCAGCCAAGTCTGCCTCTGCTGCCAGTGCAGGGATGGATGGAGGAAAGAGTAGGGGAGTTTCGATCATTCTTGGAAGACCTCTCCATCTCAAGGTTACATCACAGGACAGGAACAGAATCTTTGCCTTGAGAAAGTCTGATGAATGCACTGTGTCAATCTCGTGTGACACGGGGTGCCTGCTCCCCTTCATTGCATGTGCATCAGTTTTAACTTCACAGGGTGCCAGTATTTGATGAGTTCCTGGCTTTATTGCTGTTGAGGAAGTCCCTCTCAGGCAGTCATGGGCTCTGGTTCTCGGTTGTATCCCCACACTTCTCAATAGACTCCTGGTAATTACATGTGGAATAAGAGAACAAAAGATCTGTTAATTAAATATTGAAGGGTCAATTCCTTCCCATTTAAAGGTCAGTATCAGAGTTATTAAATGACATAAGCAGTATCGCGAGCCGAGGATGTATTCCGCCAAGAAAATCACCATGTCGGTCCCTTTTGCTTTTAAGAGAAACAGATCTGTGGTGGGGTTTTTGTTTGTTTCTCCTCCCTTTGGCTTACTGTCCCAGTGGAAAGGGACCAGGAAGGGCCTCCATCTAATGTGATCATGCAATTGCAGGAGGCCACTTGCAAAGCACACTGTGCAGGGGAACCCCTGGCTTTGTACATCAACACTGAGTAACCCCGAGTCACAGGGATGCTGGGATGCCTCCTGGCTGGGATGCCTTCAGTGTCCAGGGCTGCCAGCTCTTCTATCACTAGTCCCTCAGCTTTTCACTTAATAGCTGCTCAGTGTGTGGTCTTCTAAGCATGGATAGGTCCCTAGGCATGTCATGGGGACCTGTCTTCCAGGAGCCCTTAGTTGGATGGGAAGGTTGAGCGGAGACAGGCCGTCAGAAAGCAGGTGGGACCTGGAATGTGAGAGGTTTCAACCACATCCTGGCTTGAGAGCTGAGTTTGGAGGAAAGAGACAAGTTACTGTGTCACAGGGATCCAGCCACACCCACACTCACAGCAGCAAACTCCTGATGGCTGAATCTCAGAAACAGCTATAAGTCCATCAGCAGATGAATGGACAGAGAAAATGAGCTGTTTATACACAATAGCATAATTCTCAGCTGTAAAGAAGGGTAAACTTTTGCCATCTATAAGGAATAGATGCACCTGGAGACCATAATGTTAAGTGAAATGAATCAGACACAAAAGCTTAATAGCACATCGGTTCTCTTATATGAGATATTCAACTTATAAATAAAAACTACAAAAAAAGATATGTAATAGGAAGTAGAGAGAAATCTTCTGCCATTGGGAAGGTGACCAAGAGATGGGGGAGAGGGTTGAGGACAGCAGGATGAAAGAAGCACTGACCCTGTACAGGAGACGCTGCAGCTTGCCATGAGGACTTACGTACAGCAGACATAAACCAGCAGAAGTGCAGATCGAAGCAGAGGACAACACCTCTGCAGCAGAGTGGAGAAAAGTGTGAGTCTCCATGAGAGTGGGGAGAGCTCCAGTTGCGTGGAGTCTGGAGGTGAGGATGTGCTCACGCTTGGGAGTCACCTGGCCTGCGGCGCCCCCTGTACAGATCAGAGGTCTCAGTGTGCTCCAGGCCCTGTTCTGGAGCTCTGAGCCATCATTTGTTTGCTAGATGACAAATTTGGGTTTGTCTGACTCGAAACCCCACTTTCTGATTCCACCATGAAACTTTTAAGATGTTCTCCACCGCCCTTCCCTCATGAACTTCCCCAAGGCTTGGCCAGACTCACTCTGTTGATGCCTGCATTTTGGCTTCATCATCCCCTGCCCCTTGCGTTGTTGGTCATTATTTTGAATTAATATTACACTCTTCAGTTTCTCTTTTTATGTGTTTGGACTCCTCTACAGGAGTGTTGGACAGTCCTGGAAGAGGCGTGTTAGAGGCAGACACACCACTGTTGACCTATGGTCGCTGTCTCCTCACTCTGAGCACACCTTCCAGATAGCACCATAGATTATTCTAGCAGTGCAGTCACAGCACTTTCCTGCAGTGGCATAGTTCCCTTTGAAAATGTAGGAACCAATTTATAAGTAAAATAAAAGTAGGCTGGGCACTAGGATTCTTCATATAATTGAAAATTGGTAAATATGCAAATACTTAAGTACAATACCATGGACATAATTTTATCTTGGTTCTTTGGGGGATAGATTTGTAGGAAATTGATAATGTCTTTCTTTTAAGGCAAATAGGCTCAGATGCCACTCTTCTGGCCAGCTTAAGCAGCCTCAGAAATGGGAGTTGGAGGAAAATCTTCAATGACATGTTTGTGCATAATTTCCTCCTAATCCATTCCCTGGGACAGGCTGGTGGATTAGTGGCACAGGCTGGGGAGATGGCTGCATAGGACCCTTAATCCCAGAGGGATGACTGTTTTCAGGGGATTTTGAAGATTTGCAGAATATGGTAAGCAGGACTGAGATAACTTAGAAGTATAATTCTTCTCAAGTTTCCAGGCATTAGGGAAATAACTTTGATGAAGTAGACTCTGAGAACCAGGTCGTATTTATTTCTTAACAGGGGTGACTTAAACAGCTGCATCCTTTCTGAAATCAATGATATTTAGTTTAATTTTTGTTTCTCCCTTTGCAGCTCCGTGTGGGTATAATGTGACGTCCCAGAATGGAACCATTTATTCCCCCGGCTTTCCTGACGAGTACCCCATCCTGAAGGACTGCCTCTGGCTGATCACCGTCCCGCCAGGGCATGGAGTGTACATCAACTTCACTTTGCTGCAGACAGAGGCTGTGAACGATTACATTGCTGTCTGGTAGGAGCCCTTCTGTGACCTGGTCTGCACCTCCCACTCTCTTCCTTCAGGAGCTGCTCTGAGTTAGACCTCGGCATCAGCTCACGGTGCCCACAAACATCTTCCCCACCAAGGCCAGCTGGTGGACAGGAAACTCCTCAGAAAGCTTCTGGGTTTTGCTTCGCAGTGCAAGTACCCAGGAGCACCATTAGTCAATGAGATATCCGAGGGTTACTCGTTAATGTTTTAAATGTGATTGTTTTAAAGTGGTGGGATCCTCTAAAGAAACAGTTAAGCAGAGGCTGCTGGCCACCCCATCATTGCTGTGAAAGTGGCTGTACATGAGCAATACAAGGGAAACTGAGGCAGGGTCAGAGCACTATTCTGGCTTCCACTGAGTCAGCTCTGGGGAACTACCATCATCTCTGCCTTTGGGTCCTGATGTGGACTTTGTCGTGGAGATGGCAGGAAAGGGTCCCATGACACTGCCCGAGGAGGACTGGCACATGCCAAAGAGTAGGCTGAGGCCAGCCAGATTAACTCCACAGCGCTGAGGAAGAAGCTGCAGGAGTGTGTGTGCGTGTGTGTGCATGCAGTGGTCTTTGTATCTCTGTGTGTGACTCTATGAGATGCAGTAGAATTTGCGACTCCTGAGTGTGTATTTGTAAGTCTGTGCAGTGCATCTCTGTGTGTGTTTATATGAGCAGGTGTATAGTCTGTGTACTTGTGTGGGATTGCTAGATCTGTGTGCGTGGTATGTGACGCATGAAGCATACATGTCTCTGTGTGTGTCTCTGAGCATGTGAGCCTATGTATGAGAGCACACCCACCTGTGAGCGGGGTGTGAGTTACCGTGGGTTGTGTCAGTGTGGGTGGTGCAGCACATCTCCTTGCACTTCGCCAAGACAGCAGGGTGCTGTTGCTGTCTCCCAGGGGCACTGCTGCCATCTCCTGGAACAGAGGGCAGGGCCTCTCCCTCCCCGCTGGAACCTGCCTTCCTCTGAGGTTACAGGAGGAGGTGGTGAGGTATGGTGTCCCCAGGCTGTGAGGAGGCCTAGGAGGTTGGGCGGGGAGGCCGGTGTGCAGAGCTGCAGGAATGAGTCTCGCCGGGTGACAGGGCCTGAGACCAAGCAGAGCCACCCCACAGCAGTGCTCACCATGACAATTGGGGGTTTACTGCCATTCCTCAGAGAAGGTGCTGGGCATCCAGGTGGAATCAGAGATCTTCAGAATAGGTAGGCAGAAGGCTGGGGAAAGCCCGACCGCGTTGCGCCATCCACTTCATGACAGTGAAACATCTGTTTCTAAGCACAGGGTCCAGAGCACAGTTCTATCTTACTGTTTTAATTATTTTAATTTACCTGCCAAAGTATGCAAACCCGTTCCTGGTTAAGCAGACTGCACTGCACTTAGACTTTAACTGTGGGGCTGGAAAGGAAGCTGCTGTGAGGCACTGCAGCCTCCAGAACTGGGGAGACTCCTGTGAAGCAGGGACCAGTCGGCCGCCTTCCAGACTTGGTGGCTCTGTGCTCTGCACCTGCGCTGAGCGTGGAATGGGTCCCCAGCCCCCACAATGGCCCCTGTCTCCTAGGGACGGCCCGGACCAGAATGCACCCCAGCTGGGCGTGTTCAGCGGGAACACGGCGCTGGAGACAGCGTACAGCTCCACCAACCAGGTCCTGCTCAGGTTCCACAGTGACTTCTCCAACGGAGGCTTCTTCGTGCTCAATTTTCACGGTCAGTTTATTTCATAGCCTTGATTAAGACCCAGAATCCCAGGTTGCTCAGCCGCCCCAAGAGCTTAAAGCATTGTCATGAAGGGTGTTAGGTGCTTCCTGGGATCTCCCATGGCTACCCAAATCGTTAGCCCAGTGGCACAGCGCCTGCCTGGCAAGTGCAAGGTCCTGAGTTCAATTTCCAATACCAAAACAAACAAACAAACTTTAGGGATCTTCATTAGCATTTCATGTGTTACCAGGTTGTGTGCTGAGCAAGTGTGAGCTCATCTCACCGTAAGCAATTGTCAGTGAAAGACCAGTGTGGAGCCCAGGGACCACTTACAGGTTTGCCCATCCCTGACTCTGGTCTAAGGAAGTGCTGAGCCCCTGCCCCACTGCACATAGGGAGAACAAGGCAGCTGTAATGGTCTTGGGGATGAATGCCATACCAGATGGCAAATCAGTGGGCCCTGGTGTTGGCTGGGCACCAGTCACCCCCGGGGATGCACCCGAGGCCGTCTTCCCAAGGGCCACGGAGGTCACCTTGTCTGGATCCCTCCCCTAGCTGACCAATGTAGCATTTTTTAAATTGCACACTCTCTTTCCTTAGACTTCAGATATTGCTCGGCATTAATCACAATATAAGATCTATGAAACAGTGAGAGCCGAGGAGGGCATAGCAATTTGTTTAAGAGGCATTTCAGGGTACAGAGGAAATGAGACTTTTACAGGAAGACTATTGTCCCATTTTGCTTGTTCAGCAAATGTAACTGCCATAACTCTCGTGTTTTTTACAACACAACAGCATTCCAGCTCAAGAAGTGCCCCCCGCCCCCCGCAGTCCCCCACGCAGACATGCTGACTGAGGATGAGGACTTTGAAATAGGTAAGGCATCCTTCAGCAGGAGCCTGCAAGCTGGTGTGCACACCCACCGCTTTCTGCACATGTCACTCAGACCAGCAAGTGGGTGATTTCTGGGGGGACGGAAAAAAACCACAACTAATAGAACAACAACAACAACAACAACAACAACCCCGCCTGTAAAGCACTACTTTGCTGGGGCCTGGGACAGAGCTCACAGTTCCAGACTAAACTGTTCTTTCTTCATTCCCATGATTTTTGTTTTGCCATTTGCATTTCTCCATTGTGGTTTTGAATATGTCTTCCTCTTTGGCATGTGTTAGCCCACATTGTTTTCAGTAGTTTCCAAAGACTGTTTCATTAGGGAAGCGTGTTGCATGAGAACCTGATTATTTGTAGCTTAAAGCCTGATGACCAGGACACCAGCCTTTGCCTGAAGCTGGCCTCTGCTTGGCGGGGTATACTTAACGTGGGTATTTAGAAATTCTGCTTTATCGTGTTACACCAACAGTGTAACTCATTAAGCAGGCATCAGGTCGTACAGAGACAGCCATCGTGGCATGTTTTCAGCACGATTGCTGTGACATCTCCGTCCCAGTCAGATATACTTTGTTTTCCTATCACACTGTGTTTCAGACCACTGTCCAACTACATGACCCTGTGTCTGGCCGGCTCATGCACCAAGTCAGGCAGTTCAGACAAAGGTGACACCGAGTCTTGCCGGGATGTCAAAGCCCTGCACCTTTCCACTGTGTGGCATCATGCATGCCCTGGTGCCTGCCTCACTTTCTCTGTTTACTTCATAAGCAGTGGGGTGGGGAAGCCCAGGCATGTCAGTCAAGGAAGAAGATACTGCGTATTAGTTCTGTACTGACCCTGGTTAAGTTTAAGGTAGTATGTTTAGGAATGAAAATTTGGAATTGCCACTTTCTTAAAAAATAACAGGAGTGCTTGCAGATGTTGGGGCCGGTGTTGTTCTCACGCTGACCCAACTCCTCCAGCAGCTGCGTGGTTGGTGCAGTACACTGGGAAGTCCTGAAAGCTGACTTCCCGCTGTGCTGACTTGGCTCTTCCAGGAGATTTTGTGAAGTACCAGTGCCACCCCGGGTATACTCTGTCGGGGCGCGACACACTGACCTGCAAGCTCAGTGCCCAGCTGCAGTTCGAAGGCGTGGCTCCCACCTGTGAAGGTAGGCACATGTTTGACGCCACTGTGTGCGTTGTTCTGAGTGGATTTGGTTGCTGGGCCGTGACTGTTCCTATGAAAAAAACCTGCTAACGGGGTTTCCAGTGATGTTTCTAAGATAACCCTAGAAAATAAAACATATCACAAAGAAGTCATGTTTCCCCAATATTCACCATGAAGATGTCCAAGCTGGTGGCCCACTCCAGATAATAGTAAAACAAGCAGCCAAGATCCTCGCTCTGAGGTGACAGCATGAGCCCTAACACTCTGTTACATTCCCACCCACTCGTGAATCTGTCTTATGGTTTATATTTCAAGGTAAACTTTGTGCAGCACAGAATGCTTTACCTGTAGTTCAGCCTGAATAGAACCGGCTCATTTAATATCTGTAGTGTAAACTTTAGAAACAATGAACAATGGGAAGGGCTTGTGTTTTTTTACATGACTTTAAAATAAATAGACCCTGTACAAGAATTTAGACCATCTGTAGTAATAGAATGAGATTTGAGGCTGACTCCATTTCTTCAAAGGCTAGAATACAATTACATCATTCAGAAAACATGATTTCATGGACACCACTGACCTCTAGTAGGGGAAAAAAGGCCTCATAGCTATAAATACACTCAAAGGCCCAGATAAGTTAGAAACGTGAGCAGGTAACCAACAAGAAGCTGTCTGAATTGGATCAAATGCAGTGTCTTTGGCAGTGGGGTTCTCCCTGACTGGGAATCACTGTGTTGCTACTCACAGGCGAGAGGAAAGTGGCTTAGGAGCCTTGAGTTTAGTGAGAGGAGTCCCAGGGAGTGGAGACTGTGCTGGGTCCTTTGGAATGTCACTGAGCCTTGCTCACCACACCTTGGGAGGAGGATTGTCTGTCTTGTTTATGGACTTGGTTGGAGACAGTAAATAACAAATGGGTTATTGCATTGAGTGTCTTGTGATGCCGTTTGTCCACTGGAGACAGACCCCCTCTTCACGGAAGTCTTCAGTGGCCTTGATTTGGTGAGGGCCTGCAGCCCGTGTGGGTGTGTCTGGAGCTCAGAGAGCTGCTGCATCCCCATCACCTAGGAGAGGGAAGGGTCTCACCACCTGAGATGTAAGAGGACATGCAGTGTAGAATCAAGGACTGAGTGTCTGTAATAACTTCAAGTGTTCCCAAAAAATGAATCCTTACTTAAAAACTGCCCACAGCAGAGCTGCAGGCTGAGGGAAACACCTCATAGAAGAGCAGCCACAGTGGCCGTAAGATTCCCCAGAAGGTATGGCTTGGCGTCATGGGGATGCTGTCCTGCACTGGCCTGTCAGACATCATTCTGGAGACTGGAACCCCCAGCTGAGGAAAATCAGCAGCCACACCACACAGCATGGCAGTGAGGGATTGCTTTGGATTTGCTTGTCAAGTCTTCCACCACCACCAGCAGCGCCACCATGACCATCACCAGTATCACCATCACCACCATCGTCCCCACCACTAGCATCAGTACCTCCATCACCACCACCACCACCACCATCACCATCACCACCATCATTATCAACACTACCATGACCATGATCCTCACCATGACATCATCGCCATCACCACCACAACCTTCATCACCATCACCACTACCCCCACCAACACCATCACCATCACCACTGCCATCCTCACCATCCTGTCATCACCACCTTTACCACTATCAACAGCAACAAACAAGAAATAGAATCCAGACCTTATCTTTCACTCAATTCTTAGTCACATAAAGGCTTAAATATAATCTTAAGTACCTCCTAATTATAATCTTATTAAGTACTTCTCATTAGTTGATTGATCTGACTGGGCTAAGTGGAGGATAATCCCCCAGTCAGTTCCTGATGACAGACTGCAGAACCTCTTTATTTCCTTTTTCAGACATCAGCATGTGCTCTTCTGAGCTCTGCTCTGTTCACTGTTGTGGATGTGGGGGAGCAACGGAGGGTTGATGAGGGTTCTGTGATCTGCAGATGGTATCATCTTGTGTGAAGCCTCCCTGGATGTAGACAAGTGTGGCTGTGGGATGCCATAGCTGTGTCTTTCCAGGGCTCGAGAAGGAGAAGGATCCAGAGGGAGGAGAGTTTGTCACCAAGGTTTGGATCACACAAGGGTGTGTGGTGTCTTAGACAGAGCAGTGGCTCCCCAGAGCTTGCTCTTAGCTGGTCTTTGGGAAGAATTCCCTGGGATGGAAGGTTAATGTGGAGTCAGAGTTGGAAAGGACACCATGCCATGTGACCCTGGCTACCCCTCCAGAAGGCAGCAGGAAGGAGCTGGCAGGAGCCTCATCCTTCTGCTGCTGTGTGACAGGTCCCCTGCCATTTGAAGAGGACCTCTGCCTTCATATTGCTGTCAAGCCTTCAGGCGCTGCTGAGAGCTAATCTTAATGACTTGAAACTCAAATTTCTGTTCCTCATCCTCTGTTACTAATCCTAATCCCTTACTACTTTTGCTGAGGAGCTGCAAAATGCCTTCAGTAATGTGCTTCATGTTTTTAAGCCTCAAATGTCATTTTTCTTCAAAATAAGCTGAAGGAGTAGCTGTGCCTAGGGGCTCCTGTTGCAGGCACAGCGTGCGTCTCAGAGGCAAGCTCCTCTCCTGAGTGTCCTTGATGGGACCCCACATGACTGTGCCCTGTGCCACTTTCCAGGGGCCCTGGTTGGGGTGCAGGGTGCTTCACATGTGGAATTGCCTGCTGCTGGGAAGTGAGCGGTTCACTTGGGAGAGAATGCATGCCAGGGGTCACACCGTTCTGATAGTACGGCTTCTGGTAAGCTGTAGAGAGGATCAGGAAGGGGCAGGAAGAGAGGCCGGGGTACCACAGGAGACAGACTACTGATGCTTATGGGGAAAGCCACCCCAGCATGCTTTTAACACGTGCTTAGAAACAAGTGTGTTAAATGTCATTAAAAAATATGACATGGATATAATTTTGTCTTCTCTAAAACACAAAAAGAACATTTTAAAATGGGAAATAAGCCTGGCTCTGCTGGTGAGCGGCTTCTAATGTAGATCTCAGAGCTGCGTCCCAGCTCGGGGTTTGCTCCTGGTTTTATGGGTGCATGTCAGCAGCTCCCTGGGAAATGTGCTGTCTCCAGACACATGAGGCTGCAGAGTCACACTCACTCTCCTACAGTGAGAAGTGCGCAGGGCAGTGAGAGGGCTGTGCCTTCCTGAAATATCACAGGAAGTGGGATACTCAGTGGCACCTTAATGTTGACCTTTCTCCTCATCCTGAAACTGCTCATCCATGCCTTCTGTTGTAGAAAAGTGCTCATACAAGCTGGGTCTCTCACTGCGACCCAAGGGGTCGCTGGTGCTGCCTCTACTCACCGCAGAGGCTAGGAAAGCTCTGGCTGCCACTGCAGAGATCTGTGCAGGTTCTGAAACCCACATCCCTGCCAACACAGGCATGCAGGGCGCCACTCCCAACTTGCACCACACCCTGCCTCAAATACCTGCAGGTCCACGCGGAAAGGAGTGAAGTGCCACACAGAGGGTGCCCGCTGCCACCCAGGAGTCCATGCCCCCACTGAGCTGCCGTAGACTGAGTTCTGGTTAGAATTGTGTTTGATGATGTCATTTTCATTAATTCATCATTGTAAATATTTTTAAAATCTGACCTAAAATACAGATTTATTTACCATATGTTTCATCATCGGTAGTTTCATAACTAAAACATTCCTAAATTTTAAAGTATATCTCAACTAGTATACCAAGATAAATGGGAGACAATAGGACACAGAAAACCTTTTGTTGTATACATTTACTTAAATAACGCTTACTTCATATCCCGTGGGTCCTGGGAATCTGTGCCAGAAGCATCTTTGTTTAAAGTATCTGTAAAAACAGTAGTAGTCACCTAATGAAGAGGAACCCCTAAATAAGTAAGGCGCATCCCTTTGCACACAATTCGTTGCCACCGGTGAAAAGGTGATTATTGGATTTTTCTGGACACTGTGAATTGTTTTAATGCATTGCTGTCTGTTGGTGAGCCATTACCCAGTGAGAGAAAGATTTTTTCCTTTAATATCTCTAGAAGCAAAGTATCTTAGGAACATAATATAGCGATGCAGAATCTACAGAAAAGGTACTCACTTTCAGTGCCTTCCAACTTCACATTCATATCTATGCAGATTAGTTTTAATTAACCTGGAAGTATCTGAAAAAGAAAAAATGGAAACAGGAGAAAGGTGTGTGAACGTAGCCACTCTGTCCCCAGGTGCTCAAGCCATAATCCATTGCGCTACTCAAAGTGTACTAAGGACTAAAATGAAACCCCCCTTATTCTTGTCATGTGAGTGTACTTGGTGGTTGCTCTGGGAAAAGTTGGGGTTCTGTGATGAAGGTGTGTGGAACGGGCAACTTGGCAGGTGCCAGACGCACAGTATCGTTATTGCTCGGTGTTGTTCCTGCCCTGTGCCTCCTGGGTCCCAGGTGGTCAAAGCCCAGAGGGCTGGCCCTTCCTTTCCATGGTGTTCTACATGCAAAGACAGAGAGATGCCCTGGAGAAGGGCGCAAGGCCATGGAGTAACCTCCCCTGCAACTCCTCTCTCCAGCACAGTGCCCGGCGAATGAGATCCGGACTGAGTCCTCCGGAGTAATCCTTAGCCCTGGATACCCCGGCAACTATTTTAACTCCCAGACTTGCTCCTGGAGCATTAAAGTGGACCCGAGCTTTAACATCACCATCTTTGTGGACAGCTTTCAAAGTGAGAAGCAGTTTGATTCCCTGGAAGTGTTTGATGGTAAGTTTCTTCAGTTTCTGTGTAGCAATAACCTGTGGACTGTTAGTAAAAATGCCATTCTGATGTGCAATAACACAGGGATGTGGGTATATTTTCCAATTAAACCGCATCTTCTCTAGAGTAAACAAAACAACAGTTGAATTATTCTGGGATTTATGCATTCTCAGAGGTCAGTTGGTCTGAAAAATAACATACTAACGTTAAGGCTGCAAATTTTCAAACAGGTTCGCTCTCCACATACCCTGAATTTTAAGTACTTTTCATTCTTTAATGTGGGAAATTAGAGTGGGTGTCTCAAGCAGCGTGTCCTTGCTTTACAAAGTATAGTGTTGACCCACAAGGTGCTTAAAGGAAAACCAAGAATGCCAGAGGTATTTCAATCCCCTAAATGTGAAAATAACGACTCTCAATGACTTATAGCCTGTGAGTGCTGCAGACGTCTTTCATGTACATTTTATAAAAATAACTAAACACAGTTACCTAAAAGGACACTGGGAGGGGTTTTAATTCTACTCTATGGTTTTTATGCTACTCTAATGGACATTCTATATGATATTCCTTGTGACTGAGCTGTCAATTTGAAATGGGACTGATGTTAATATTTGTCTTTGTGTAGAAGCCTCATCTGGCCCAGGCTACAGTTATGGCTGAACATAGTAACCTAGCTTTCTTTTCTTTTGACAGCTTTGTCATTGAGTTCAGTACATCACTGTCACCTGATTGACTCTGCATGTGTTTATGTGTTTATTGACTTGATGGGTCATAGCAGTGAAATTGCTTACAGGGCTATACCCACATGAATGGATGTATGCATTTCTGAAAATTAGCTACTAAGTTAGAAATTAAACTCCGATTTCTACACATAGAAATAGAGGACTGGGGAGTTTGTGTAAGCTTGTATGTGTGGTCAGTGTATATCTGAATGCATACGTATTCTTGAATATTTTTCTCTCAGTCACTGAAATGAAGAAAAATAACTCACCAGCTAAATTGGAGAGATGGTCTTGTAATAGACAGGCAGGTGAGACAGCTGCAATCCAGTGGCCCATTAAATGTTACTGAGAAATACACGAAAGGGAACAACCCATCGCACAGGCTGTATGGCTGGGTGTGCCCATGTGTGCCCTTGCACCTTTATAGATGCCTGTTACTGGGCATTCCCATGCAACTACACATATGTACCTACTTAACTGAAATGTGTGTGTGGAATACAGCCAACAATATTTTATGTCTCTTAATTTCAGGAGCAAAGTTTTTAGCAGTAAATTAGGCACCAAATGCTTACAATCCTATCTCTCAAAACACGGCTAGACCATGTCCATCATAAACAACAGCAAAGTACATTGTAAAGACAATATTTTAACAGTCACTGCTAAAATTATCAGACACGTACAAGTAACATCACTCCACTTTCAAAGATTTTTCTGTAAAATGAAAGGTCAGAGTTTTATATGAGTAATCTTTTTAAGCAACGACATTTTTGTTGGAGTAAATGTCATATTTGTCTATTGTTTGCTAAGACGTGGGCACCTTTATAGGCCCTGAGTGGACCAGAAGACATGCTGAGTATATTGATTTTAAACGTTACAGCACAAGAGTACGTTATTCCCTATGGCTCAGGGTGGGCAGCCTTGCTTTTTCAGACCAGGACTTTAATCATCACTGAACTCGGGGGAGAAAGGAGTCAGGAGTTGGAGTGAGGACAGTCTCTGCCGTCCTGGGTGCCCTGACCCCTGCTGCCCTTGGCCGGCTGCATCTCCCAGGCATAGGATGAAGGGCTTTGAAAGAACAGTCCTGGAAAGCCTTTGTGTTTTAGGCATCAAAACAGATGTAAAGTAATGAGGGCTTTGATGTAGGATTAGCAACCCCTGGAACTTTACTCTTGCAGCCAGTCTCTAAAATGGCGTTTTACAGCGCTGGTAGTTCAGCCTACTGAGTTTCCCAGTGGCATTTTATTGTAAAGCAACAGTGGCCACATGCAGGTGTCCAGTCTGCAGGCGTCCTTTCCGGGCGTGGCAGGGAAGAGCGAGCTATTTGCCCAAGGCCTTCATTCCTGATGCTAGCTTTCTGGTGTGCGAGGCACAGCCTTCGCAAAGTGCTACAGATGCTTACACCACCGTGGGAAGGTACCTTCCCCCAGTCCCTGTGGCAAATGACCCCAGTTCTTGCAGCTGGGCATCTGCCAGCCAGGTGCCATTCTCTCTGGAGGCCTCTCTGCCTGGGTCCTCCCTGACTGCTGCTGGGGTCCTGGTCCTCACCTCCCTTCCTTGAGGACTATGGTCCGGTGAACCTCTCTGTCCTAGCTACCACTGAATCACCCTGCACCCAGAAGTTGTCACCTCAACAGGAGACTGAGGTGGGGAGGGTTGAGCGCTGACAGCATTTGGGAAAACCCCTGGAGGAGCAGCGCTGTTAGGATAGAGGAAAGGTCGGGGTCACCAGGAGCCCGGCATGTGACGCGGTTCTGTATCCAGCAAACTGCACCTCCTGTGAGCCACACAGCCTGAGGGCGGTCACACGGCTCCGCTTGCTCTGGTCACCGTGTACTTCCTGGCAACATTTTCTTAAAATATTTTTGAAAAATTCCAAATAAACGGGGAAAACATTTATAGATAATGGATTTTAGGGTGCTTTATTTCCAAATTTACTGAGGGCTATTTTTATAAAGCAGCAGAGCACAGGGCTGCATGGGACCCTGCCAAGTGCAGCCCTGCCTGGCTCCTGCCGGAGGTTCTGATCTTGGCCAGGGCCCTGGGGTCCGGTTGTGGCCTGCTTCCTAATTTACTCCTTATCTCTCTCCCTCTCTCTGCATCCTTGTCTGTCTGTCCACCACCCATCATCTGATCACACACACTGGGTGTGTTGGGTACTTTTGAGTTTCATATCATTGCTATCTTTATCTGCTAGTGGATTTTATTATATATATGTCAGTATGCCATTCATGGAATTACCTATGCTGATAGTTCATACAATTAATGAAGCATACATTTCATTTATGTGTTAATTTTAGATTCTGTCATAATTTAATTTTTTCTAATATTTCCAATACTTTCATATAACTCCAGACTATTAGTTGGGTCCAAACTTTACTATGAGAAATTATACTGGAATACCATGTTTTGCATTATACAGATAGTTCTACATATGTGCTAGCATTTATATAAATATAGTTACATTTTTAATTGTATTAGTTATTGATAAGTTCCCCTGTCACTTCTCACTCTGCACTGGTACCACAGGAAGGCTCTCCTCTCCCACATCCACTCTATATTATAAATGCTAATGGTACAGAAATCACTTTTAATCATCCAAAGGAGCTGCTTCATGGCATGGTTTATTTAAGTTCTGTGTCCTCAGTGGCCTGTGCACCTGGCATTTTTCTGGGTGTTTATTTTTATCAGTCTATGCATCAGTGGCCATTGCTGTTTGGAACCCTTCATCCCCTTTGGAAGTAAAGGTGTACATCGTGCTCGTGAGCTTGCTTCCACCAAAGCTGGCCACCTCTGCACCTGGTCAGCTCTGGTTCGTCCTGAGCTTTCACGCTCCCATCTCTCCTGCAGGCTCCTCTGGGCAGAGTCCTCTGCTCGTGATCTTAAGCGGAAACCACAGTGAGCAGTCAAACTTCACCAGCCGGGGCCACCAGCTCTTCCTGCGCTGGTCCACAGACCATGCGACCAGCAAGAGAGGCTTCAGGATCCGCTACACAGGTGAGCTTGGGTGGGCACCCTCAGTGGGCTGCAGGGCACAGAGATGTTCAGAGATCACAGTTCTAAACTGCTGGCTATGGATTCCTAGATGCAGGAGAAATAGTGTGGTGGGAAAGTACTCAGTGGTGTCTCCGAACAGCATGTGTATTTCTTTATATATGCATGCACACCACATGTAGCATACACGTGTGTGCTATGTAAGCATACATGAAGGATTTTACATTATCACAAGTTGGATTATTTTGCTCCTCTGTGTGCATTAATCGTTCTCTTTCAATGGTTATTTGTATCTCATATATCATTAGTTACTCAACAACTGCAAATTATTTAGGATGTGGTTGGACCCTGGGCCAAATCCTCCATCCAGGCTGACCCACACTGATCTTTCCATTGTCCCAAAAGCAATAGGGAAACTCTTCTAACTCCTGAGGATATTTTAGTTACTAAACAAAAAACAAAATAGCAGCAAAGTCCCACACATTTCCCATCTGTGTCCGAGATCCCCATGACTACACTGGAGGTGCCCGCCCTGCGCATGGATGCAATCGGTCTGCCCAGAAATTCATTCCTCTGCTCCACTGGGCTCCGAGCAGAGGCACAGCCTGGGAGCCAAAAGGAGTCTCCCTGGTTTGCAGATGAGCCTGTAACTCTCCCTGGCTGGAGTTATAGAGGAACCTGTGGAGCAGGGAGCTGAGTTAGACTCCAGATGTGGGATGCGGCCGAGAAAGGCAGCCCCCCTCCCCTGCCACAGGGACAAAGCCCTGAGGCTCACTGCATCCAGGCCACTAGTGGTCAGAGCAGCAGCATCTGTGCACCCATCAAGATCCTTGTTCTGAAAACCAGATGAGTAAACCAGACTTTTCCCACAGAATTCATTCCCAGTGTGTGAAAAGGTCAGTGTGGGGGAATTAGGGCGAACGTGACTTGTCTTGTTATCTGTGGCAAATTACTCCGCAGCCTGTTGGTGGGGGTGCACGTGGACCCTCTGCTTTTCAAAGGATATTGCTGGGCATTGCTTAAGATCCTCACTCAACTATAGCCAGAGTGTTTGGCTACAAAGCTGTTCATTTGCCCTTGGAGACTGAGATGTAAGATTACTTGCACATGCAGGTTTTCACGTGAAGTTCAGTGATCCTCTGATGTCTGTTCTGAAGTCATCCAATAATTTTCCAGCAGAAACTAAATGAAGTGCCCCAAAGTATCAAGCTCAGGGCTGGAGAGCTCCCCGACCCCCGAGCCCACTCTGCCCCCCACCCTTCACAGCTACATGCTGCACCCCAGCCTGGGCTTGCCTTCAACCCACAAGCCCTTGCTCAATGGGCACAAGCACTGTGTAATCATGGATCATCACAACCAGAAATCAAGGGAGAAAACAACTAACAGCTACTAGTGTCATTGTGGTTGCTGCCAGCTCTGTGAACCCTGCCATGTGACAAGGGTCCTTAATGTTCCTCCAGAGCTACGGGAACCTCTGGAAGCATCAGCACGGGGAAAGTCCACCCTGAAACCCTGGGTATTTGGACACTCCAGGCCCATGCCTGTGTCTGCAGGCTGCACCCCGAGTTTCCACAGCTGCTTGATCTCCCTCACACTACACAGGAACAGAGAATACAGGCCTGCGCCCTACACTGCTTCCTCCAGGCCTCATGTGCTCTCCTTGGGCCCTGCACGGCTGTTTTAGGAGTACAAGGAGAGAAGATGCACACTGAGAGCAGATGGGAAATTGACACAGGGCATAGAAGACCTGTGGCAGAACCCAGAGGTACAGCACCATTCACATTGCACCACAGACCAAAGGAGCAGTGCCGTCCACCCTGGGGATTCCCACTGACCTTGGCTCCACCTGCCCCTCACGCATGTGTCGAATATCGCCTCACCCCAGGTCTGGACTCTTCTTTTCCCACTACAGTGAGCCCAGACAGGTGGTGGTCAGATGCCCATTGGCAACACTTCCTAGACCAAATACTTTGTCTCATTCAAAGCCCGCACCAGTGCAGTCTGAAGGGACTGGAAATAGAACCTGGGCCAGTAGCAGAGCGAGGAAACAATAGTCCTGTGTTGGCAATGGGTTTCCCAGAAAAATGGTCAGCCCCTTGGAGACAGTATGGATGGAGCTCCTCAGCCTCCCAGACAGCATCTACCAGGACAATGCTCACGGGAGCACAGCAGGGCCTAGTCAGCAGGCAGGGGTGAGGCAGGAAGCTCTCAGAAAGCATCCCAGGCTTGCTTTAAGGCAGAGGCAGTGTGAGGGCAGGGGGCTTCAGAGCAACTGGGGTGCTCCAAGGCCAGGTGTCTCTGCTTCCGGAGGAGCAGGAGTTTCCAGTCCTGACATCTGTCCCGGTGATGTTGATCTGAGGGTGTTCGCAGGGGTTATGCTGTAGTGCACCAGTCCTGGAAGCCTGAGGTAAGGGTCTTTCTCCACCCATGGAACTAAGAAGCAAAACCATTCAGCTACCAAAATACCACACCGTGCAGAGAGGACGATTCTTTTACCAGAAACCTGTCTCCCCAAAGCCGAAATAGTGCTGTGGTGAGGGCTTCACTGGTCTGAAGCAGTGCCTTTCCCTCAAAGATGTCACTCAAGTGCCACCTCCTAGAAAAGAAGCTGAACTGTCCACACCGAGTGCCTTTCTTAAGGCCACTTAGCAGAGCGGAGGAAGTCGCCGGCCTGTCCTGTGTGCCAAAGCCACGCTTGCCGTTTTCTTCCTCTTAATAATACTCTGTAATGTAGACAGTATTTTCAATTTATTCTGATGCCCTGAGCAGCCCCGGCCATTCCCAGTCTAGGATCTTGCTTAAGCCACAGCCTGGCAGGAAGCTAGGTGGGGAGGGGTGGGGGGCAGGTCTGACTCAGCACTGTGGTCAGTACCCCACCTTCTGTGTGAATCAGCTGCAGTGCCTGCATTTCAGAGAACAAGAGTGGATTCTGGGCTGTGGTTTGTAGGATGCATTTATGTATCAATGCTAACTTCCTGTGTGTGTGTGTGTGTGTGTGTGTGTGTGTGTGTGTGTGTGGCGGGGAGTACTGAGATCAAACCCAGGGCCACATCTCCAGACATTTACATTATAATTTTTATACACAAGGCAAGGTCTCCAGTACCAAGTCATCAGGTGGAACAGACTAGGATTCTACTTGCCATCTTCCTGCCTCAGCTTCCCAGAGTGCTGGGATTGATTTCACTTGTGTTGCTCTCCCCAAGGAGGATGGCCCTGCTTTCTCTGTGACTTCCTGTGTGTGTTTCTGTGCCCGCAGCCCCGTACTGCAGCCTGAGCTCCACGCTGAAGAACGGCGGAGTCGTGAACAGGACGGTGGGGGCAGTTGGGAGTACAGTGCGGTACTTCTGCAAGCCTGGGTACCGCATGGTGGGTCCCAGCAATGCCACCTGCGTCCGGAGCCCCATGGGCATGTACCAGTGGGATTCCCTCACACCCATCTGCCAGGGTAAGACCCCGCACAAGTCCAGCCTGCCCCACCCCCATTCTCACCCTGACCAGGTGTCTGTGGAGGGCAGGTGAGGGGAAGCTGAGCTTAGCTCAGCACAGCACCAGGCGGCTCCCCACTGACAGGACAGAAGCTGTGATTCCATGCCGGAGCCTGAATCTGGGGAGGGAATCGCCTGGCCCATTCTTGTCCTCACTTGCAGGTCCTTGGGAAGCAAAACCTGCGCCGTCCAGTAAGCTCTGGAACACGCCCTCTCGGTCGTTGTAATAGAATCATTTGCTGCTGGACGGCTCTCTCCTTATTATCCCTTAAACAGGGATGGCAAACCTTGTAGAGGTTTCAGTGACCACAGCGCGCTGCAGGTTGCCACTGTTGGTTCCAGCATTCTTCTTTGAGCGGGAAGGCTTATGTTTGATTTTCTCTTTGCTCTTAAATCTAGAGATTGCTAGCAATCATTTCAACACTCTAGGCCTATTTCTCTGTCGTATGCACAGAAACTAAGTTCCATATAAAGAATTTTCATTTTGGTGGACGATTGGAGTCAAGAAGTGCCTGCGTCCCCTCTCCCAGGTTAAATTCGCAGCAGGATGTGTGCTCTTTGGGAAGTTACTCTGGTCCTGAGAGGGGCTTCCTGGCACTCTATCTTTCCTTTTGCCTGGTGCTCTTTGTCCAGCTGCTTGTGTTTGTGGTCACAAGGATGTCATCAAATACTTGGCTTGTGTACATTTCACCCCAACATTTTCTCCTTGATTAAAGTAAACATAATGATAGACCCACACAGCTGTCCTACTGGGAATGGGGGGATGTTTCTAAAAGGAACGCTTCTCTTTTCTCCTCTTTTCAAGATGGTACACTTTACATTGGCTCTAAATGTTCTCTGACTCTGTGACATGCAGCCTGTACTCAGAGGGTTAGAGCAGGACCTGGATGCAGAATCCCCTGAGCCTGGGGTCCTGGAGGCTGAGTCAGGCAGAGCCCTGAGCAGCACCGACCACGCATCTGTGGGAGGCAGGGAGGATGCTGGGAGGGTGTGTGGGTCTGTCTTCCTAACGCTGCTCTGGAGCTGGTGTTCACAAGCTTGGAGAGGAGAAGGCGAGGAGGAGCTCACCACTCTGTTCTCCAAACGGGCCTGGCGCACACCGGGCACCTGACCTCTGGTCCATCTTTCCCTGAGAGCCTTGCTAAAGCAGGGAGCCAGTATGAGGTTCTTTTTCCTTCATGAATGTTAACCTTTCAGTCATGGGGGGACCCTAAAAAGAACCTGGTTCTACTTGGAGTGAGCTTTTAAACAGAGATGGTCATGTCGTGGGATTTAGGATTAAACCAGGGAAGCCTGGGTCAGGAACCCGGCCCCTCTCCCTGCCCACTCCTGCAAAGTCAGATGGTTTCTTGCCTAAAGAAATTCCAGTGAAATCCAGCAGACAGCAATACAGGGAATACTGTGTTTCTGACGCAGAAATTCTCTTACTGCAGAAGAGATTTCTATTGTGTTTGTTTTTGTTTTGTCTTCTCTTAGTTATAATTTGTGTAAAATGACATATTGACTAAGACAGTAAAAAAAAAAACCTTATCCTTTATGAGGGTGTAATGTTTAAAACAAAGCAAGAAAACGGTATGAAGTAGGAATTTTGATCATTTTAATTATGTAATAAAATTAATCAGTTTGGCATCTAAACATAAAATTAAGCTTAAGTAGTGAAAACTGTTATTTATACAGATAAATATTGCTGAGAAAAAATTATGCAAATTCTAAATAGCAAAAAATTGTACAGTGCATATTCCCAATTTATGTCCCAAAGGTCTGTGCTTAGAGAATTTCACTGACTGACCAGGAAATCCAGGCATAAGTGTGTCATTTTGCAGTGTGCAGTGAAGGGGGAGTTGAGCTGCTGGGCTCTCTAGGTACAGCACCCCCAACACCTCCCATGCTCAGCTCCCCTCTTGGGACGAAGGTTGGGGCTGGGTCCTGCCCTGGACTCTCCTGTCCTGAAGCAGCTTGTGTCGGGGGCTCTCTGTCAGGTCATGTGTGCTGGCAGATGTGTGCCTCACAGCAAAGGAGGCTACTTCCTCCCAGGGCTCAAGGTCCAGTCTCCAGGAGAAGCCTCAGCAGTTGCAGCGACCTGGAGACCACACACTCGTAAGGCTGTCCAGATCAGCTTCCCTTCTTGGTGTGAGAGTTGAACTCTCTATAAGCAACTGTCTCATGCAAGCCTGCTCAGTGGAGATGCTTCAGGAGGTACAAGTTGCAGGGGAGAGAGTGTGGGGAGAGAAGGACAGAGCGGGTCCCCACAGGAGGACTTGCATGTTCTCCGAGGAGCAGGACGCTATAGCTGATCATGGCTCACGGATGCAGCTCAGCAGGAAGGACCGCCAGTGCTCCAAGGGGAGCAGAGGGTGTGGTGTGGGTGTGGGCGGCCTCTGGCCTCAAGCATCTCACATCATGTACATGGATTGAGCTGTCATAGCCCCATCATATGTGCACCCTACACCCATTTAAAACAATTAAGTATTAAAACTTAAAAAAAGATTAGGCTAAATCAGAAAACATTAAATGAAGGCACCTTGATTTATTGCTTTTTTTCTCCTGTTAAAAACTCAAATATTAAGGGAAATCTTAGTTCTAGCTGGCTGTTAGTATGTTGATTTACTATTTAATTTATCATGAAAACATGTGCCACAGTTAGGTAATTTTTATTTCAATTTTATAATAGTTGAAAATATGTGCAATCTTTAAAAAATAAAAAACACCCTGACGCCCTTGTCCAAAGTGAGCTCATGCATACAGGCGTATTGGCATCCTCCTGGGGGCCTGAGTAGCTGGGACTCAGGGCTGCAACTGTGCAGTCAAGGCTGGTGGTGTCTCCAGCTCAAAAGTCACTGAGGAGACATTTGCAGGGCTCTAAGGTGAGTGGTCCAGCACTATGCATCAGCCACGAGCCTTTCGGGATCAGACCTTCTGCAGGCGGCATTGGTACTGATGTGAGCCTGGGGAGGAGAATTGTTGGGCAGCATTTTCCCCCTGGAACCTTGAGGATTCCAGCACAGCATCCAGAAGTCAGAGCGGGAGCTGGTTCGCGGAGCGGGGTATCCCTGTGACTTCTGACCATGTTTGTTTTCAGATGGATAAGCACATGCTTGTATTTGTGGATGAGGGCTGTGGCTGCAGGTTGAACCCTAGTGTGTGTATTAGGGAAAAGGGACCTGGTTTCAGTTTGGTTACGCTCACCTTGCAGGCGGGCACGGCAGGTGTGAGATGAGAAACACCACACTTCCAGCTCCACAGGTGCAGAGAACCTGGTGGGAGGAGCCTGGAGTCCTTCCAGAGGCTGCGACATGACAGCGGGCAGGAGCAGAAATGTGGACCCTGAGCAGAGGTGTGGGGCAGGCTTGCTGCTCCCGTGATGGAGGTCGGCACTGGAACTGGCAGGCTTCATTCTGAGGGAAGATGAAGGGGCAGGGGCGACAGCACCAGGTCCAGGAAGACCAGACCTGGAGTTCAGGAGGCCTTCACTTCTGTCCTGTGCCAGACTTGCGCCTGGTCAGGACTTTTTTTTTTCCTGGTTGAAGTGTTTATTAAACCGGGGCCTCATATGGTAGGCATGTTCTTTGCCTTGAGCCACATCCCCAGCCTGATATGAGTCTATTCAAGATCAGAAGTACTCTCCTCTCTGCATGTAGGAAGGTCGATCTGTAGAGGCTGGGTGGTGACCCCTGTGGATCCCATCTAGGTCTTGGGTGCTTAAGAGACTTTACCTTGAACATTATAAATCCACTGCAGGTAGTGGGAAGACATGTTGGGCAAGAAAACAGATACTGAAACTCTTAAGTGGCAGTGTCTGAGCCCCTGTGGCGCCGTGCAAGGAAAGAGAAAGGGAGATCTGGGGTGCTTAAGGTGGGAGGTGGGAGGGTCTGATCCAATGTTGGCACAGGACTGTATGAGGCCAGAGAGGCCCTGGCAGCAGTGCTCCTGGGAGCTGCGGGCCAGTAAACCCTCCCAGCCAGACACTCAGAAGAGGCTGAGCTTAAACTTTTGCAGAAAGAGTGTTACGGATTACTAACTGGTGGTCAGCTGAATTAAATCAGCATGGTGCTGAGTGTAGATGGCCACCTGAGGAAAGTTGCCAGCACAGCTGGCAGAGGAAGATCAGGGAATTGTGGGTTCTCCTAAGTCCGGCTGTTTGGAGCTATTGGTTCTCCTGGAGGAGCTTGTCATGCTGACTTCCCTGATATGAATTTGGCCATTATGGGAGGAGCTCAGGCCCTTGTCACTGAGGATGGCTATGGTCACTTTAGGGAAACTCTGGTCCTTACGTCGCGCATCCCTTCCTGGCTCCAGAGGGGAAGTATATGTGCCATTTAATCTTCAGGATTAAAGCTTATTGTGCCAGCTTCCTAACAGGTACTGGGCTGCTCTCATCATCAGAGGAGCTCTGGACCTCCTTGTCACTGATGATGGCTGTAGTGCTTTTCAGGGAGCCCTGGTCCTTATTTTTAGTGTTGTTTCTTAACTCCAGTGTAGAACCAAGCTTCTTCACCCCACTGGCATAAACTTTCTAGCTTCTACCACTGACCTTTGGGCCTTCCCAGCACGGATCCCTAAAACAGACTGTCAAGAGTCATTGTCCTAGGCTGTAAGCCTCCAGCTGGACTTTTGGAAGGCATTGTCATGGGCTCTAGGTCTTCAGCTGAACTCACGCAGGACACTGCTGTGGGATCTAGGCCCTCAGCTGGATTTTCTAGATCTTTAGTGTTATATTTAACTCTGGGTGATCACCATAAAATAATATGATAAATTCTGTTTCCTGTATGTAATTGTTCATGTTGCAAACCCTGACTGCAACAAAGGATGTGGTGACTTAAATTATCTTAGGATGCTGAGTACATCTGTGTCTTTCACCAGATATTTGGCTTTGTTAGTTTGATAAGGACCAATTCCAAGGAATAAAATGGTAATACTTTAAAAATTAGTTTCTGGGCTGGAGGGTGGCACACCACTGTAA